ACAACAAACTTAATGGTTATATATGCGAAAAAAAATTTGCATCTTTTTTTTGAATATTCATAATCATTTTTTTTCATTCATAAATCCAATAATTTTGTAATCTACCGAATGGCGAAAAAAAAATCAATTTTCTCGAATGAAAAAAAAAAAATCAAGTCAATTGGAAAGACGACCGAATCTCGGAAAAAAATCATAACGTACGAAAAAAAAATTTTTTTTTTGTCGCCAATCTCATCATCAATATCGTTTGTTTTATTAAAATAAACGATATAAATCAATTAGAGACGACGACATTATTTTGCCGAAAGACTAATGAAATAATGAAGTATTTCAATAAAAGAAAAAATGAGAAAAAAACGAATCACACACATGCAGCCAAGATTATTATTACTATTCCATTGAATCCAAATCGGATCACATATATACACATACACACACACACACATATTAGTGTTGTTGTTGAATCAACGAAAAAAAAAGAATTTAGGAATCGGAATCGCATTGTTTTGGAGAATAATGAGTAAATGAAATACTACATTAGAAACAATGAAAACGATGGAGAATATGGTAAAATGCCTAATCGATACACACAGTGATTCCCTAGTGAATTTAGATTCTATTGGCTCTATAAATTTTCTGTTTCGTATTACGATCGTTTCCGAATTCAAATTGAAATCTATAGATTTTTCTGGCTTTTCTTTGTTTCTTCTAATTTCTTCTTGTGATATCGTTTTTTTTTTTTTTTTTTTTGAATAAAATGCCGAGATTCATTCATTTGCGTTCAAAGTTTTAAATCAAGAAAGCCACAAGGAATGTGAATGGTAAAATGGGGCAGTGATTAAATGAGAATGAGATAGATAGAATTTATTTGCATCGTCATTTGAATATTATTCAAATTAGTTAGCTTGATTAAAACTCCGAGAAACCGGGGTGGGGAAAAAACAAACTGGAAAAAGAAACTGGGAAATAAAGACATTGAAACAGTACACTACATTTGTTGTGTACTTTTTTATGATAGTACAACGATTAGGTTAATGATGGCAACATAAGCTTAACTTCCGCCCACCAAAAAATACGAGGTTAATCAGAAGAAAAAAAAAAAAAAGAGAAAACCCGACGGTCATTAACACAGCAGCAGTCCGAAATAATTGTAAGGGAATTAGAATTGTACTCGACGATTGACAATATATTGAGAGGACAAAAAAAACAAACAAACAAACAATACGCAGATTTGCATTCAAACACAATATGCCCTTTTTATTATAAATACTCAATCAATTTGTATGTTTTTTTGACGAAATTTTTTCTCCATTTCAAGCTAAATGGGCGTCATATACACACATTTATTCTTTTTTTTGTTGCTAAATACTGACATGAATATATTATTTTATTTTATTTTATTCTTGACTAAGGCTATGGAAAAAAAGTGGTTTAGCCCGAATAATTGCTTTGTATGGTGGTGGTACTTGGCGTATTCACATTCATTATATAAATACACACACACACAGGATTGAACAGAGAGAATGAAATAAAGACATTTGCCTATATATGAATGAAATGAATGATGGAGATGATGATGATGATGATAGCTAATTGCCAAGTATTACATAGAGTAGTAGTTTCACTCTTGTCATCATTATCCACAAGCGTCATTCATTGAAATAGACGACCGAATGGACCACACCACTATTTTTCATACAGAAAAAAAACTTTGCGAATAACCATTATCCGTGTATCATTGAAGCAAACATAAATTCCAAAGTAAACTAAACCAGATCCAGTAGAAAAAAAAACATCCAAAATACCTAAGGAATCGAAGAAACAACAACAACATTGGCAACAGAGGGTAAAATGTAAATGAATGAAAAAAAAGAAACGGGTAGAATTTTTTTCGCTAATAAATAATTCAAAATCTAAATGGTTTAGAAAGCAAAAAAAAGGAAAACGTAGTAGCAAATAAAATTGGAAGAAAAATTGAATGGCCATGAATTAGATTCAGATATTTAAATGTGGGAAAACAAAGTCAAAATACTGATGCTGATATAGCCATGAACCAACGAATGAAAATTAAATGAATAAATAAAATCACAGACATTCAGACTTGAATAATTGAGAGAGAAAGGGGTATCAAATAAAAAAAAAAGAATCTCTGTGATTCGTAGTTGTGTTTGAGCACACAAGAATCCTACGATAGAATTGCTTGTTTTATTCATCATCATCATCATGGGTATAAAATGGCGTCCGTGTGTCTATGTCATCATTATTATAAACTAGAAAAACGAAAACGGAGCAAACATTTCGGGCAAATTGGTTTTTCTTATTATTTCGATCGTCGTAGTCGTAGTCGTAGTCATAGTCATCATTGCAAATGTAGTACAAAACAAGAGAAAAAAATTCTAATTAGAACTAGAAATTGTCGTAAAGAAACCTAGAATAAAATTGGTGCCACAAACAAGAATTTTTTCCGGAAAAAAACAAAAAACCAAAAAATGAAAACACATAATGCACAAGTTTCAACGATGATGATGAAAAATTTTCAACTAAAAACCCAATAGGGGCAAAAATATCGGCCGAATCCGACTTTTTTTTGCCATTGAAAAAAAAACATGGAAATACACAGTGAACAGGTACAAAATAACTTTCGAAAAAAATTTTCACCAATTTTTAATAACCAAAAAAAAAAAAAAAGAAATTGGGCAATCACGATCGTCGTTTCATACTCATACACACACACTATTATCTATGGATAATAAAGTGATTGTGAAAGAATAAATCAGAGACATTAAATGAAGAAATTCATAACCCATATATTCGATCGATAGAACAATAATAATAAAGTATCGATTATTTTGGTCTTATAACAACATGTCTTCTGTCACCCCCTCGGGTTTTAGTTTCAATATAATAAAAATTTACATTGAAAATAGAAATCGGGCAACAGTCGATAGAATTTTAAATGTAGAAAAAAAAATAAACGAAACACACACACACACACAAAGACAAGGCCTAATTGAGAGTGAAATTGAAAGAGAATCGAACCGAGAATCGGAAATTTTTTTTTTCGAATATGATCGGGTATACCACCACCATAGTACACCGTATGTTAAGTTTCAAGAAAAAAAAGATCCACACTCATTATATTCATTGAGATTGGGGTTCTTTTACTTTTCACAACAGCAACAACAACAACAAGTCAATCAATCGGTCGGTCGTTTTTTTTCTCTGTTTCACTGGAACATACACACACACAGACAGTATCTGCATCAGTAGCGATCCAGGAACAAAAAAAAGAGAAAGCAAATTAATAAAGTCAAAAGACAAGAAAAATCAATAACATGGCCAAGAACAACAACAGGCCAAATAGGAAACGAGAGAGAAAAAAACATAACATGAAAACAGGAAAAAAAACAATTCGACGGAGAAGACTATGAAAAAAAAAACGAAACGAAACGAAACGAAACGAAACGAGAAAAAGAAAATTCGCGCCAAAGTCACAAGTTTTTTTTACAATGAAAAAGATAGATAGATTTCAACTAACAGTAGTACATAACGATGATAAGAACAACCAGCCGAAAACAACAATAATAATGTACTTGCAAAAAAAAAAAAAAAAAAAGATCAATATGGAAACAAAGAAAAGGTCATTAAAATTCTCATAAGAAAGAAATAAAAAAAAATCTGGTTTCTTTTCTCTCTTAAAAAATAAAATAAAATAAAATAAAATGAATGAATCGAGTAATATGAATTTTTTTTCACTCTTTCAAAATGATGATGGCCAATTGAAGTTGTTTAGGATTCTTTTTTTTTGGAAAGAATGGGGAAAATGAAAATAAATTTTTCCTCCATTCATTCTCTTCACAGATCTAAATTGATGTATGAGAGAGAGAGAAAGAGATGAATATATCTATCATGATCATCATCGTCATCATCATCATATTATAAATTCTAGTTTTTTTTTCAATTCAATTCAATTTTATCCACACACACTCACACATCACAGAATATATGGATGGTAATCGGGTAATAATGACATGGCACAGCGAATGAATGAATGTGAATATAGATGGAGATGTTTGGTTACTTCATCATCATCATCATCATCATGATCATCACTAACCGATGACAATGGAGCATTAATATAAACACAACATATACACAAACACAAAAAAAACATTTTCACTATAAAAAGTCTGAAAAAAATCTAGATGGATGGATGGATGGATAGATGGATGGATCATCATCATACCATTAGCTAATATTCGTTTATGCATATGGTGAATAAATATAAAAGAAAAAAATTTCCGAGAAAGAATCCAAGTGACAGCCAAAAATTGAAGCGAAAAAAAACCACAAACACAAATACACGGCGATGATCTTGAAAGAGCCATTATTAATCACAATTTAATACACACACAAATAGACAAATAAAGATAGACCATGATGATATTATAAAACCATTTATAAACGGTGATGATCGTATGAGAATGAGAGAGAGAGAGAGAATGGAATAAAATCCAGATGATGTAGATGGATTCATAGATAGATTCTATTAGCGAGAATAGTCTCGTAAAGAATTGTATTTTTTTTTTTTTTTTGGCCAAATAAATATTGTACCCATCATCATCAACATCATCATCAGCCAGAAGAATATTCTATATTATTAATATATTTTTATTATTATCGTAAATATTTTATTCAGTCAACAACAACAACAAAAAATAACAATTTTCGATTGTTGTGTTGTTGTTATGCAAATGATTATAATCATCATCATTAACATGAATACATTGTACATTGGGGCAAAATGATGAAAAATACTGAAAAAACCACAAAAGCAACTAATAACAAACCAGATCATCAAACATCATCAATGGCTGAATTCGATGATATTTTTGTTCGAATGAAAAATGGACAAAACACAATTAATCACAATTTGGACAAGAGACAAAAAAGAAAAAAATTGACATCCAAAATCAATATCGCCATCTATTGGGTGCAAGTTGAGCACGGAAAATTAAAATTTTAATCATATATCGTTGTATTTGCTGTTCTGATTTGATTATGATTATGTAAATCAAATGGATTATAATAGGAAGGTGTAAAATAGCCCATTGTAAATTGTTTCAATATTTGTACATCATCATCAGACAGGGTAACATCATCACCGTATATTGAATAGAAAAGATGTTTTTTATCGATTGAATTCATTTTCGAATGTTGTGAAAACCATTTTTGATAATCAGTTTGCAATCGACGATGTCCATATTCAGAATTAGTGGCTGAAACTGCACTACGTATTGTAACAAAATCAATAACATTGGCTTCATTTTTTATTGATCCACCAAATAAACATTCATCAATCAATAATAATGGTAAACATGGTTTACAATTACTATCCATACCGATACCAATCATATGTTCACTAGTGAAATCCTCAAACATTCGTACATGATAGGAAATAAATTCCATTTCATCACGAATTTGTCGAAGAAATTCTTCATCATATGGACAACCATCAAGTTTTTCAGGGTCTAGATTCTGTTTTGAATTCGATAACTGTCGATGAAAAGCATTATCAACAATTTCAATACCGATTAATGCTGGATGATTACCAATTTCATCGAGTAATGGTTTAATTATTGATAGCTTTGAAATTTTCGGCGTGTAACAAATCAGATGGCATTGCAAAATTGATAGAATTTTCATATGGCCAAAGTGTCAACATTACGTATTGACCTTTCGTATAGACTAGATCTAAAAGTTCGCAAACAATATCAATCCATAATATCACCTCATCTGCAGTTAGTTTATCCTGTCCATTCATCCATATGTTCCACATGTCCATATTCATCAATGGTAATTTTATAGCATGTTTTATCGTGCGAACAATCTGCATCGGTGGTATGGCATTTTCAAGCAGAAAACGAGTTTTAAAAAACGAATCTTTGTGATGAATCAAAACAGGAGATATTTCCAGGCCAATCAAATAGATTGGATCATTCATTTGAACGGAATTGTCATTGACATCGCAATGATTAATGATCAATTGACCATGATCACCAATATTGTCAATAATCAGACGATCTGGTATGTATGAACGAAAACGTAATGATCCTAAATTTTTCAATAAATAATCCATTTTGATTAAACCTTCTTCTTCCGTACAATAATGATAATGATTGAGAAAAGAATCCATTGTAAATGATGAATGAATTTGTTTGGATATCGAGGGAAATTCACTAATCCATTGCATTCGATCATTTACATATAAAACATTAGTGTCTGTGTTGGATAAACGAAATTCTTGAATTTTGAACCATGGTTGTAACGTATTCAATTCGAACCATTTAAAATTATTTCCATGAACATATAAAACATTTAGATTAGGTAATTTATCAATCAGTTCAATGGGTAATATTCTCAGACGATTGTGACTCAAGTCCAATTGCCAAAGCGATTCAAATGGTTCCGGTACCGAAGTTATCCATTTTAAATTGGTTAATTGATTTTCAGCCACAATAATTCGACGTAATTGCCGAGCTTTTGTATGAAAAGCTTGTCGATGAATATATTCAAGTTTCGATCGTGTTATAATCACTGTATGTAATTTATGTAATGCACAACTATTAAAATCTTCATCCATAATTTCCAATGAACAGCGTTCAAATCTTAGCACTTGTAATTCAGAGAAATGTTTCATTTTAGCAAAATCGAAAGCAATTGAATCATAAGTGGTAACATTATGATTCCATTCAATGAATGATAATGATTTTATTGCGGTAGTATCAAGCCAATCAAATATTGTTGGTTTTTGATTTCCAACATTTGAAAATTGGCCATTAAATCCTTGTAATGTTAAATGACGAACTGCAATATTTGTTGTCGGATTATTCACTGGTTGGAAATCTTCATCTTTGGCTCTGATTATCAACGAATTCAATATAAAATATTGTTCAGGATTGGGAAATCGATCATCCTGTAATGAGTTGATTCGTTCACAAATTAAACTAAGCGTTTGATTCGGAACACCATCATCTAGAAAAATAAATGATAAATGAATATATAAATGAAAATTACAAAATTTGAAATCATCGAATCACTTACCAAGTGGAGCCGTAAAACATTGACAATAATCAGGACATGGAATCGGTGAATGCGATGATGGTGGTGGTGGCTCGAAACAAACAAACGTAAAAAGACAATATGTTTGAATCAATGATTGTAAATCAGATGTTGACATTATTGAAGATTGGTAATGATTTGATTAGTAGAAAAATAACAAAATTACAAGTATTTCCATCATTATCATCATCATCAGCGTTTGTTAGCATATTTTTTTTTCTTTGGGATTAGTTTTTACAACCAAAATATTTTCATAATCAATTTAAACAACATCTTGTTTTATTGTTCTGTTCTGTTATGATAACACAGCATACACTTGTCATCACCAATGTCATGTTTTGTGTCAAGTGGATCTGATAATAGAATACGATTGCAGCAGCATTTATTTTTTTAATGCAAATATGCAATAACAAATCCATTGACCATCATCAATAGGATATATTAGGATGATTTGTATCGTTAATCTTTTCATTATCAATCGATAACAAATGAGACAACAAAAAAAAAATTCCATTACTAATTATACTAAAAAATAGATAGATTCAAATATCGACTACTAGATGGAGATATAATTTTTTTTTAACAAAAAAAAATTCGAATTTTTCCGAAAGAAAAAACAAAACAAGACAAAAAAAATTTTCCAAATAAATTCGTTTAGTCCATCGCGCATATTGACATAGACATATGATGATAGATAATTGTGTGAGACAACAAAAATCACCTTGAACTTAATCCATCTCAAAACACAATCCATAATCATTATCATCATCGTCATCACACACACACACACACACAGTGGTGAGCCAATCATCATCATCATTTTTGTTAACTAGCTTAACAACGACAACAACAACAACAACTTGAAAGTCATTGAGAGATATTGTCAAATCAAAACGATTATTATCATTATCATTATTATTGAATCGCACAAATACCGCACACACACAAATTGCACAATTTGCATGTGAAAAAATTTTTTTTTAAATTTTTCAAATCAAATAAGCCAAACCGAATCATCATCATCATCATCATCATCATTCCATTATCAGTTTTTTCCTCTTCAATTTTTTTTTCAAACAAAGAAATTTGATAATAAAAAAAAACTTGGCCAAATTTCACACACACACGCACACAATATCGAATTTTTTTAAAAAAAACGATCAATATGGATATCTTCAAAGAAAAAAAAGTGAAAACGGAAAATTTTTTCACTTTTTTTTCCATCACGACCAAGAAAAAAAGCTATGTGCGTTTTATTATATTCCCAGATTAGGTGATAATTAGTTAGGACAACAACAACGAAAAAAAAATATCTCACCAAACAGCCAAATTAGGTGCAAAATAGAGAACAAAAAAAAAAAAAATAATTCCCACAAATAAAAAAAAATTTTGACAAAAACAAAAAAAAAAATTTTTTTTTCCAATAATTTTATGAATGACTTGTTCGAATCAACGATTACGATCAAGGCCGATATTCGATCGATATTCAAGGCCGTGTCATCAAAAAATTTTTTCATTTCATTTTTCTCGCTACTGTGTGTACTTTATTAAAAATTTGATTTTGGATTTTTAAAATTGATGATTGCCAATTGATCATCATAAATTCTCATTGAGGTCATAGTGTTCCAAAAGAAAAAAAAGTTTCATTTTGTGGGGAAACCGATTGAAATAAATCAAATTTCAATTCAATTCATTATTGCCATATTGACGATGACGATGAGGACAACATACAACAACACATTGGTGTCATACCCAAGTGACAAAAAAAATTCTGGATCCATTAAATAATTAAAGTAATTATGTTGACACACTGACGCACACACACACAGGAAAAAAAATTCAAAAAGATATCATCGCCGTAATCATGATCAGGATGATTACAATGATGATGATGAAAGAGAAAGTTGAATTTTTTTTTTCGTTACGTAACGTAAAAGAGATAGAGACACACAGAGAGAGAGAGAGATTTTAATTATTATCATAGCTCGGGAAACAAACAAATTATCCTTCTATGGCCAATGCTGCTGCTGCTGCTGCTGTTTAGAAACGGGATTTGCCGTGTGTGTGTGAAATCTTTCTTTCCGAATTTTTTTTTTGTTCGGACTGTAAAAAAATTTTTGCTAATCAAAAAGAGCCAAAACTTTTAAACACAACTTTATTGTGCGTGAATATGTGTGTGTGTGTGGCTGCTAAGAGAAATCTTGAGCTTAAAAAAATCTTAAAAAAATAAAAAATTAGTGCCCACTTTTTTCATCATCATCATCATCAGTGATTGCCAGCCAGCCAACGAAAAAAAAATGCCGAATATCGGTCGAATGGCGCGTCCAAAAAGTCTCAGAAGTCTAGTCAAGCGAACAACAACAAAAAAGAAAGAAAGAAAAAAAATGCTAAACCAAGTTGAACGCTTGCCAACATTACAACGATTGCTGCTGTTTTGTTGTTGTTGTCGTTGTTTGACATTTTATAATTTTCATAGAAATTTTGGATAGTAAAAAAAAAAAAAATTGAAAAGGAAAGTGAAATCAAAGATCAACGTGCTTCTCATCAATCTCATCAATATCAATATGATATACTATTGTGGGTTAAAATGAGAAGAAAAAAAAAGATGATGATTATGATTATGATTATGACTGTGATGAATTGATGATGATGATTGAAAGATTTGAGATTCAATTTTTTTTTCTCCATCATCAACATCATCAATGGATGAATGCGAAAGAAAAAACTAAAAGAGTAAACTTGACTTGATCATCAAAAGGATAGTGTAGTAGATAGGATAAACTTATTCGGCCCACTGGACCAAATAGAGATGGAGAGAAATTTTTTTTTTTGGATTATTTTAACCCGGTCGTTGTGAATCCACCACGTACACACACACACACCACATATTGTTGTTGTTGTGGTGGTGGTGGTGGTGATGGTGGTTTTTTCAGAGATGGAGATGGAAAAGTATTAAAGTCTATCTCATCGTCATCATCATCGAAAATTAACGGGGAAAATAAAATTGAAAGTCGTTTGGCAAGCAAAAACGAATGAATGAACAAAAAAAAAAAAAAAATTCAAACTCGAATGATCCAAAAAAGAAAAAAAATGCTCAACAAACACACAAACATTCAAGTTATAGCTAGTTAGATCTTGTGTGTTATCACAAACATTTTTTTTTTCGTATGAAAAAGCCGCTTCTTTTCGATGTTTATGTCTATCGTGTGCAAGTGTGTGTCCAGAACGATGCCGATGGCGTCTATGATGATGATGATGATGATGATGGTAACAACGAACCACCACCATCATCATCACTATATTGTCAGGTCTCAACGTTTCACATCTCACATCTCACATCATCATCATCATCAGCATCATTTGAAATTGGCATGACACGCTATTCCCACATTCAATATCATCATCATCGTATTTCAATAAAAAAAAGCCCAGAAAAATTTCTTCTTCTTCACCATCAAATATTATCCATTTATCCATCCAACGATCCATGGTGAAGAAAAGAATGAGAGCCACAACAACAACAACAACAACAAAAATACGGGATAAAACAAAAAAAAATGAGAGACATAGGATATAGACACGGTATATTTCAAAGAGTCAAACACACACACTCACATTACATTTGACCACCACCAAGTGTATGCCTGTGTGTGTGTGTGTGTACACGATCCAAAGACGATCCAACAAAACAAAACAAAAAAAATGACGACGAAAACAAAGATAACAGCAACATCAGCAACAACAACAGCAACAACAACAACAACAACAACGACAACAATAGTGAATAATGAATTATCCAATATCCAACAAGCAATCATCATGTGTTGTTGGTGCATCAAAACAAAACAAAACAAAATGAAACCAAAAATATTTTGAAATCAAATTGATTGGCCAATTGTGAATTGTGTTGTTTTAATGAAATTTTCAAATTCAAAATTTTTTTTTCACATACCTTGTGAACGAGGAAAACGAAAAAAAACAACACAAACCATCTTCATTGACAAAACTATGAAATTTTAACAAAAAAATTTTTTCAAAAAAAAAAAAAAAAAACGATTATAATGATGAAATCATCATCAATGGCTATGATAAAGGCCATAAAGGTTAACATAGTGGCCAATATTAATAATCATATAATAAACGGCAAAAAAATTCTAATCATCATCATGATGGACACAACACAAACATTCAACAACAACAAATTGTTACCTATCACCTTGAATATATAATGAATGAATGAGAAAATGACCACAACAAACATGGTCATCATAGGAAATGATTAGTGATTATTTTTGACAAATTTTTTCATCTTGTTTCTATTTTGTTTGTTTGTTTGTTTGTTGCATCACATGATTCATCATCATCAACAATTTTATAGTCAACATTTAATCTTGCCTATTATTTGTGTCTATCTGTCTGTGTGTGTGTGTGTGTGTGTGTGTGTGTGTGTGTGTGTGTGTGTGTGTGTGTGTGTGTGTGTGTGTGTGTGTGAGACGACAACCTTGGTTCTGGGGGAAAAACATTTTGATTTCAATTTTGAGAAAACAATTCGGCAATGGATTATTATTGTTATTATTTGATCCATTCATATCTGTTGTTTATTTATTTATTTGTTTGTGTATTCATCATCACATGAACAAAACAAACAAAAAAGAAACAGAAACAGAAAAAAATTGCCTGTCCATGGTCATTGAGATTAATGACTACAACAGGACGCGTTTCATCGGGTTCCATCCATCCATCCATCCATCAATCATTTGTGTACAATTATACATCATATATATCTACGGAGATCAACAACATTTATTTTCGTTTTCCTGTTACTGAATAACAACAAACTTGGCAAGCAAACAAAACATTCACTTGCCACAAAAGAACAACAACCACCAAGATCATCGATCCGCGAATCCTGTATGTGTGTTATTAGAACGAATATTGTTAATGTCGTCGTCATTTTTTTTCTGGTAGGGTTAAAAAGATTGAAATAAAATCAATCCAATGAATCAAACCTAGTTTTTATCATAATTTTAAAGGCTCAAAATTTAAAAAAAAACAATCATCATGCCTACATCATTACCATTACATTTTGCTGCAAACGGTACGTTTGTAGCTACTAGACCATCAGCTACTGTTTATGATGTTGATGACCATAACCATCATCATCATCATCATCATCATAGACATCGACATCATCGTCATCATCATTGTGGCGATGGTGAAACAACCAATGAAACAATCATGATAATCGCAACAAAAACTTTATCCTCATCATCAACTTCATCGTCATCATCATCATCATCGTCATCATCCTCATCAGTAGCATCATCTTCATCCTCATCATCAACATCATCATCATCGACGACGGCGACCTTTTCGGTCGCATCATCAAAAACGTTGACATCATCACCATCATCGACAACAAATTCATCATCATGTTCACTATCATCGACATCAGCATCGACAACGACGACAATAAATGATGCCATCATTACTAGGGGCGAAGTGAAACAACAACAACAACAACAACCAATTATTATTACAGGCCAAGTGAATAGTGAAATATCGTTAGCATGGAGAAATTTACGATATGAAGTATCACCACATTGGCCATGGTGGCCAACACAACAGCAACAAAGAACTAAAGTGATATTACGACGTTTAAATGGCCATGTCCGCTATCAGACCATGACCGGTTTCATGGGACCAAGCGGTGCAGGTAAAACTACATTGCTCAATTGTCTTAATGGTAATATTCAACGACTGTGTTCGGGTTCAGAAATTTATGTGAATCGCGTGGAACGAAAAATACCCGTATGTGGTTTTATTGAACAACATGTTCATGAAACAATAATCGGTAGACTAACTGTACGTGAAATTTTACGTTTTGCATTTCGATTCAAAAATTCCAATTGTTCCAATCACCGTACCATGGATGAACATATCGATATGACAATAGCTGAATTAATGCTTGATTATCGTTGTCTTGAACGTCGTTTTGAACAATGTTCGGGTGGTGAACAAAAACGTATCGCTGTCGCACAAGAACTGATGTCTATTGATCGTAAACCACAATTTTTATTCATCGATGAACCAACTACCGGTTTGGATAGTCAAGCAGCATTAGAAGTGATGCGTTGTTTACGACAATTGACCGCTGTACATCGTATAACGGTTCTAGTATCAATACATTTGCCAAATGATGAAATATTGCGAATGTTTGATCAGCTTTATATATTGGCAAAAGGTGGTGTAGCCATCTATGCTGGTGCACCGGAAAATCTTGGTGCAAATCTACGATTACAGTTAGGCATCGAAGTGGAAGGCAGTCGACCACCAGTAGAAGAGTATTTGAAACTAGCCTGTCATGGTATCGATGATTCGCGTGTAAGTCGACTGGCTGACCAAACATTGATTGAAGAACATCAATATTTGACCACAAATCAACAGCAGCTTCGATTTCTAACGAATGGATCAGGAATGCCACGACGATTGAAATCATTTACGATTCGTGATTTTTTCCTACAATTATATCGTATATTTTACATTGTATTTATTGTCGATTTTCGTATACTAGCCTATCAACTTTTGGTATATGCATGTTTCCTATTAACAATTGCAACGGTATTCGATCATCGTATGATACGGCCATCAATGTGTTATCCATTAGATGATCAGGATCGTGATCAGGATAATTCAACAACGGAAACAACAAGCACCGGTGTTGGTGGTACATGTCAACAACAATTGGATGATGAAGCATTCACCGATAGCTATATAGCATATCAAGCCTTTTGTAATATGTTTTTCGGTGTTATAATGCTGGGAGTTGGTGCTATACTTTTCACGCCAATGTTGAAAATGTTTCGTCATGAACATCGTAATCGTAAGTGTTTGCAAGAATCCTCATAATCTGTGATGCTCAAAACATTTGTTTTTTTTCCAAAGGCTGGTATTCAATGTCATCATTTTATTGGCCATTTATATTGGTTCGACTAGTCGAAGTGACAATGTTTTCATTAATCATTACAATATTAATCTATTTCCCCACGGAACATCATCAGATCGATGGTTATCGTATCAATTGGTATCGATTTTGGCATTTTGCATTTTTCATATGGCTTTCTTGTGTCTATATGCAAACATTTGGACAGCTATTAAGTCTTATATTTTTGGATCAATTGGAAATATCTATCGTTATGGCTCAATTATGGTTCATACAATTGAGTCTAGTCAATGGTTATCTAATTAACTTAGCACATATGGACATACCGATATTGATGATTGTATCCAACATACTGGCTACGAAACCTATATCGAATGGATTAATGTTTTCATTTTATGGTATTGACCGGTGTGATTCGGAAACCGAAATGTCAATTATGATGATGAAATTCAATATTGATGAACGACGTGTTTATACACAGCTTACACAAGTATTCATCAATATGATCATTATACGTTCATTAACGTTCGTATTGATGTGTTTTCGATTTAGTTTCGGCAATAAAAGATGGCCAATTATTGATTCCACGCGATCAATAAATTATTCGACGACAAATAATAATAACAATAACAATAATAAATTGCCAATGAACAGTGGACTGAGTCAAAACGAACCGATACCAATTGATTATGGACAAAATCGTAATAAATTCAATATCAGTGATCAGAAAACAATTAAACTGTCTGAAATAAGTCGCATTAAACATGGCAAAGAAAGACAATTTGAACAATTTTCACGAAACAAAATCATTGTTGGATGGCGATCACTTAATCTGTTTGCTTCTAGTTCGATCAAAGAAATACGTTCAGTACGACAAGAATCACGGCTGATTCTACGCAATTTACATGGACAATTTCGTTTCGGTACCATGAATGCATTGATGGGCACATCAGGCGCCGGTAAAACATCATTACTACGTGTTCTAAATGGCTGTTGCAAGACAAAATTATCGGAAGAAAGTCGTATATATTTGAGCAGATTCACACCGATAAGGATATGTTTCATAACACAAGATGTATCTGGACATCTATTGCCTGGATTGACAGCCAAACAAAGTTTGGTGTATGCATCACGATTAAAAAACAGCGACGAAGAACGTGAAGGCCAGATTGTGGAACATGAAAAAATAGCCAAAACATTGTTGGATGAATTGGACATAAGCGATACGGAAGACACATTGGTACAGGATTGTTCAGGTGGTGAACGAAAACGACTGGCATTAGCACTGGAATTAACTGCATTGCGTATGCCTAATCTAATCTGTATTGATGAACCAACCAGTGGTTTGGATTCAAATTCAGCATACATTGTCGTGGCTTGTTTACGTCGCCTGGTACATCGTCACAATCTAACCATTGTTGCTAGCATACATCAACCTAATACCGAAATATTAATGATGTTTGATCAATGTTATGTTCTAGCACGTGGTGGTGTATCCATTTATTCTGGACCACCGGATCAAATTAGTCAACAATTAAAAAAAGTACCCGAAATCAATATCGATGTGGATAAATCAAAATTTCCAATCGAACAATTAATCAAATATTCATCATATGACCATAATGATTCTATTGTACAGAAATTAGTTAAATTAAATGAACAACAAATGATATCAAGTATTGATAATTGTGATCTGGCAGAACAAACCCAATTGGTCATTGATGGTATTCAATTGAATCGGCCACAATTTTCATTAAGATCAGTATCGATCTTATGTCAACGTTATATGGTCTACGTGAAAGGATATCTGTGGTTGTCGTTAATGATTTATATTGGTATCTATTTATTCTATGGATTGATACTTCGTGTATTTTTTAGCAATAAAATTGCCTACACAAGTGGCTGCATCGATATGGAAGACGATTTCAATTCAACTTGTAATCGTAACCAAGAACGGATTGAACGTGAAATGGATCTGGCTAGCAATTATCGTTATAATTTCTATTTAAATTCAATATTTCTATTTATTGTCGTGCTACAAACATCGTTGAATTTTTCAAAAGAATCCATATATTTTTTCAATGAACATCGTAATGGTAAGTGAATAAAAAAGAATTATAAATCAATTAATTAATCATCTCAATCATTTTATACAACAACAAACCAATACAGGTTGGTATAGTACCGGAGCCTATTATGTCATGAAGTCTTTATACGATATAACGCCGATGATACCTGTGGTATTCATCTACATATGGATTGTAAACATTTATGAACCAATACGACCAGGTATCTATTGGTGGCTAGTGTTATTGGTATTGATCTCAATCATTGCCATTCAAGGTATGGGCCATCTGTTTGCATTATTGACCAATGGCCAATTCACCATATTGACCATAACGAATATTGGAGTTTTCCTCTTTCTGGTAATATTATCAAATTTTTTCAATCCAATTGGCCGTATGCACTATGTATATCAATTGATATCGAATCTATCAATTTGTCGATTTCTAAATGAAGCGACAATATTGCTACAATATGGTTTTGGTCGTTGTGGCCCAAAAGAGATACAAGCTACATTGTATGTAATGATGCTACAACATGATGATCATTTCTATCATTGTCTGCAAATGTTATTATTCAATCTGTTATTCTATCGTGTATTGTCGTTAGCCGTGTTGATTGTTAAATCGAATCCAATGGAAAATCGACGGCAACGTGCCGAAAAGATTCGAAAATATCAGGAACATATGAGACCACTGAATTCAATCATACCCGGTCTGACGATATCGGATCAACAATTTTGTATTAAAAAAATTCAAATTTAATTCATCAACAACAACAACAAGTTGATCATTTTCAAGATAAATTTTTTTTCTGTGTTTGTGAATTCTTTTTTTTTGTTTTACTTTTTTTCTTCTTCTTGTATTATAATGAAATAAATTTGCATTTTTTCACTCTAATCAAGTCGGATTTTTTTAAAAAAAAGAATCCTTCGAACGTTGTATATGAATAGCATCATCAGTCAGTTGTTTTTATTTTTCTAATCAACAAAATATAAACATTCTCATCATCAATATATTGATAATTTCGTTGGAATCGATTTAGGTTTCAATCAATTAATTATGTTACTAGTCGATTTTAATTTCATCGAAAATTTCAATGAAATTAAAACCACTGATCAGCTATATGAACGTTATCCAAATTTATCTGTAAGTGGATTCTTTCATCAGACCAGAAAAAGTTATGATTTCAAATTGTTTTTTTTGGTTTCATTTTCAGATATTACCTAGCTCATTTGTATCATCATTACAAAATGTAGAGATATATAATGCACGAAAAAGTCGTCTATTGTATGTAATGCAACATGAATATGCTATTGTCAACGCTGAAAATGGTAAATGACATATATCACAAGGTTAATATTTTTTTATAATTAGCAACACATTTCATCCTTCCACACCTCCATAGCAAACATCGATACAATTTTAACCGATGATATGACAACATGTGTTGCTGGAGTACTACGTTCACATCAAACATCTGCCATATGTCTTTGTCATTTTGATCATATCAAACAAGATGTTGATTTGAAAAATTTCAAAAAATTTGTCATCAAATGTCCATCGTAAAAACGAGATTAAATGATGACCACCATAATCAAGATAATGGTTTTGATTTATTCATTATTGGTGGCTATAAAGATGAACAAAACATATCTGATCGATTAGTTTTAAATGTACTGAATATGTTCAATCAAATAAATCCATATCTATTTCATATTCGCTGGATTTATTGTGGTGCAACAAATACATCGTGGCAATCATCGAGATATGCTAAACCTAAATTGTACGGTGTAGCAATCAATGTTAATGATTGTCAAATTCAAAATGCATTATTAGCTCGACCATTACCGATCGATGTACCAATGTATGATATTCGTAGTTTGTATATATCGCTAAATGGTTCATCAGAATACATGTCCATCTACGATTCACAAGACGAACTACTGCAAATACCGGTATTGCATATAAAACGTTGTTATTTTAGTCATGCGGCAAAACTTTATTTTGAAAAAATATTAAAATTTAGTGATCAAGAAATTTTAAATGTGAGTATCTCTAATAATAATTTATTTGATCTGTTTAATTGTCCAGAATATTCTTTTCTATCTATATTGAATCTTTATACTAGAATTTTTCCACATCACCAATGGTTGAACCAGAACATTTTGTACCAGAAAAACGTCAATTATTTCAAATCCTATATGACCATATTCGCAATTTTGGTTATGATTCCAGTGATCAATTTGTAAAGCGATATTTTCCACAACTACAACCACGAATGTTTCGACTTGAATCGAACGTGAATGAAAAAGAATACAACAACCCAAACGACGAAAATGATACGACGACAATACATTTGAAATCTCGTTACCATGGTGATTTGTCACCATCATCATCAGCAATTAAAAATCAATATATTTGGAGAGAAATTTTCCATGATAATTAATATATTCATTGATGATGATGAATAAATAACGAACCTTTCGATCAATTTGCATGATCAAAGATCGATCAAATATTGGCAAAAATAAGAGTCAAACAAAAAAAGTACGATTGGAGAGGATATAGTTTGGACAAAAAGCAGGTTTTTTCCAAACGATCATTTCTCTTCCGCGTTCTCATTATTATATTATTATTATTATGTAATGTAATTTATTAATGTATGTTTTTTGTTTCTGTGTAAAATAAATATAAATTTTGAATATATAAATCTCTTCTTCCTCATTCACAACTTACATACATAGACATGTGACATGAAATCGATATGCTAATTTTTTTTTTGCAAATAAACAGCAACATATGATATAAAGGGCTAGTTTATCCAACATTGACATATTTGTTCAATTTTTCTTGTGACGTTTTATTTTGTTGTTGTCGCTGTTGTTTATGTCTTGAACTAATACTTGAGAATCAAGAATAAACAATGTTGGAAGAAGAAAAATTTCTCGTCAAATCACCAAATGAATCTACCCGATTACCTATGATTAGTGTTGGTCAATTTATAACGGAACAATTATTGAAGCAACAGCAACAACAAACGATAGCCGTAATCGATGCTACAGACATTCATGGAAATGGCATTCAAATCACATGTGGAGAACTAGATAGAAAAATTCGACAACAAGCTGCGCGATTCTTGGCCATTGGTCTCGAGAAAAATGATCTTGTCGTTATGTTTGCCGACAATTCTCTCGATTATCTTATTTCAATGTTTGCATTAATGTATTTGGGCATAACATTTTCACCACTTACACCAGCTAGTGGTTGTTTTGAATTTATTGGCCAAATTGAAGATTCACAAGCAACAACATTATGGATTGATGGAAAACGTTTACCGATTGTCGAGAAAGCTATTCGTGAACGCACGTCGATTAGAGAATTGTTGAGATTCTTATTCATTTGTGATGATGTAGATGAATCGATTCTATCCGAAATGAAACAATATCCAATACAAATTATTGCAAATATGAGAGAACTAGACAATGAAATTTTAGAACGAGTTCCATATTTCGATACATCGCCCAATGACTATCTAATGATAATCTATACATCTGGCAGTACTGGTTTACCAAAAGGTGCTATTCACACACAGACAAGTGTTTTGGCATCGACATTCATATTTCGACCACAACAAATGGGAATTCGTTATCTAATGTGGTATCCATTTGGACATGTATCTGGTATTTTCGCTACATTGAAAACCCTGTGTTGGGGACAAACATTAATATTGGAACAATGTTGTCAATTACCGCGAATGTTACTAGATGTTGAACGATATCAAGCAACACAGATGCCAATTGCCCCGAGCCAAGCAATAGATTTGCTAAATCATGATCATCATCGGCAATTCAATCTTCAATCATTGAAAGTTATTTCGTTTGCAGGAGCAAAAATTCCAGCAGATACACTTGAACAAATTAAAAGTAAATATCAAGTGAAAATATCCGAATTATATGGTTCAACCGAAATGATGGGAAGTGTTGTGCAACCTGCGCATCAGGTGATTCCACCTGGATCGGTAGGTGTTCCACAATCGAATAATGAAATGAAAATCATAGATATCGAAACGAAGGAAAATTTGCCAGCATTTCAACAAGGTGAGATTTGTTTTCGTGGACCAGCTAGATTTCTTGGTTATCTACGAAATCTTAGGGCAACTGATGAAGTGATCGATTCAAATGGATGGTATCATACTGGTGATATTGGTTACTATGATGATAATGGCCATTTGTACGTCGTGGATCGAATCAAAGCATTGATTAAATTTCGTTATTGGTCAATATCACCGGCTGAAATTGAATTGTTTCTTCAACAACATCCAGCTATCGATAACGTATGCGTTGTCGGTGTGAAACATCTGACAGAAGGACACATTATACGAGCCTATGTACAAATGAAAAAAGGAAATCAAATTTCCGAACAAGAATTGTTACAATACACCAGAGAGAATTTGGGCTTTCAAAAACAACTTCGTGGTGGTGTACGATTTGTCGATCAAATTCGTCGTACTGCTATTGGAAAAGTTGATAGGCAATATTATAATCGTTTGAATGAAGGACAAATATTAGCTGATCCAGTTATCGATTGAATGACGAAAACATGCGATTCTATTGATATTGACCTGGATAAGACAACGAACATCATTATTATATTGATTGATTGGCACTGAACTAATTCGGTCATCTATATATTACAAAAATAACTAATCAGCAAAAACTCAGTATTTATAATAAACAAACATTGATTGATTGATTGATTGAATAAATTACAATATTTTGATGATATGACCTTCATTTATTTATTTGTGATTGATTGATATAATCAATGTAAATCACACACACACACATAAGGAACCATAAAAGAGATGATTAGATGATAAGATTACCGTTTTTTTATATAAGATCTATCATTTCAATGTTATTCAAATTAATCAACCAAGAGTTTAGAAAAGAGCAATAAGTTTCGGAAAATTAAACTAAATAATGGCACCACCATTTCCAGAACAAGATGATGAAACTATTGTACCATTGGGTCAATATTTATTTGGTGATCAAATCGATGATAGTTTTCGTGATAAAATCTTTCTGGTACGTAGTCTCGTTCAATTCAATTATTCAATTATTCAGGTTGATGATTTTGATTTTTTTTTTCACACAGACAGAAGGTAAAACTGGAAAACAAATAACCTATGGTCAATTGGAACAACAGGCACAGTCATTAGCGAAATCAATGTTATCACTGTTGGGTATTGAACCAGATGATATATGTGCAATAATGGGTGATAGTTCTATCCAATATGTGACCATTATTAGTGCTTGTTTGCTATTGAATGTTCCATATACATCGATTGCAGCTGTATTTTCATCATTCTATCTTGGTCAACAATTGGATCGGACACAGGCTAAATGTTTGTTCATAGCACGTTATCATTATCCAAAACTTGAACGTTTATTGCAACAAAAGCAATATTCTCATTATAAAAACCGATTAAAAGTGGTGATATTCGAAAATGATCAATCTGATAATCCGATCGGTGGATATAGTACAATCGAAAAATTAATTACAGCTTTTCAGGATTCTGGTGAAAACAACAATCGAATCAAAACCACAGTACCATATTTTTCTAAATCGCTAGATTCAACCGTAACAATAGTTTTTACATCTGGATCAACAGGCATTCCAAAAGGTGCTTGCCATACACATCGAACGATTCTGAACAATATGATTCATTTGAAACGATTCGAAGCAATGAAACCATATCATCGTTTACCAACATTATTATCATATCCAGTCGGGCATCTAAGTGGAAATAGTTTATTATTTTTTTTGATGGCCACACAAACACCGATAATACTGTTGGATTATTCACAAATTGATCGATTGTTTGAAACAATAGAAAAATATCATGTTGGTCAAGTATATGGTGCATCCAGTGTTATGAATTTATTGGCCAAAAATCACCGAGGACATGATATTTCAAATATTCGTTTAGTAATGGCTGGTGGATCAAAATTATCGAGCGGTACGGCTGATATTTTGTTCCATCAGCTTGGTATAAAAATTTTGGATGGTAATTATTGATGGATTATCTAAAAAAATAGATAAATTATTATTAATAACCAATAATCAAAAAATATAGCATATGGATCAACTGAATGCATATTCATTTCAGCGAATGATCGTTTAGATCGAGTGCCGGATAATGTGGGCCAAGTACTTGGTTGTTATCAAATGAAACTGATGGATCTAGTGACTAAAGAAACCATCACATCACCGGGTAAATCCGGTGAAATTTGCTTGTGTGGTTCAAGCATGTTTCGTGAATATTATAATAATCCAGAAGAAATGAAACGTGCTTTCGATGATGATGGTTGGTTTCATACTGGTGATATTGGCCAATTAGATTTGCAAGGAAACTTGAGAATTGTTGATCGAATCAAAGAATTAATCAAATACAATGGCTATTCAGTGTTTCCAGCCGATATTGAATGCTGCCTGATGAATCATCCAGCTGTTACAGCAATAGTGGTAGTACCGGTTAAACATCGTAAATATAATCAGGTTCCAAGAGCATATGTCATAATAAATGAGGATCAGATCACGATCAAAGAATTGGAAACATATGCCAATGGTAAGACACATTATTGTTACACATTTATATCTGAAAATTCTTATCAATTTGATTGTTCTCTCGATAAGAAAACCTTGGCTATCATCAACGATTACGTGGTGGTATAATTCAAATCCATGATAAACAACTTGAATCTACATCAATGGGCAAAGTGGACAGACAATACTATAAACGTTTTTGTGCTGATGAATGTCTGGATTTTATCGACGATTAAAGTCAAATATCAAATCGAATCGAAATCAATGAAAAAGGGTCAATTTTTTCCTCAGCCTAATTTGAATGAAAGTGATATATAAAAATTAAATCTTCAGTTTGAATAAAATAAAAGGAGAAAAGCAAATACTTGTTGTTGTCATTCACCTTACACATGAGAAACTCAAAGCCAATAGTTAAGAATTTGTAAAAGTTAGGTTCAATTTGACATGACTAGACATATATATTATAAGCGATATATAAAAAAAAGAACGGCACCTACCTCCTCTTGAGGTTTCAATTTCACAAAAAAAAAATTTCCGATAAACACAAGTCTTATTGGATTGTTTCGATTTAATTTGCCTATGTTTGTAATGAATGGATGAATAAATGTTTAGAAAAAAACGATATTCAAAACAAACCTGCAATTATGGGTATGAAATGAAATGAAACATCAATTTCAAAATTGTCAAGTTCATCAAAAATCATCAAAGAAAAGAAAAGAAAAGAAAAGTGAATGTCATCTATGAAGGGTTGGCTATTGTGTGCTCGGTATTTCCTGCATGTTTTTTTTTCTTTTGTTTGTTCAAGCTACAGCGCACTCATCAGATACATGTATTGAAAGGTACAGTCATTGTTACATTTGTTTTTTTTGTTCTTTCGCAAAAAAAAATCATCATTCGGATTTTTTGTTCTCAATTGATCAACACCACCACTTTTAAACGAAAATTTATTATTTTTTACATCGAATTTTTTTTCGTTTTTTTCACATACAATCATCATGGACGATACGCTAAGAATTGATGGTTCCAATCATTCTCATGAAAATAATGATCAAACATTTTCGATGCAAGATATGTTTGCTTCGTTACAGATATCCGATGTGACCAGTACAAGTAGTGGTGATGCCAATGTATCATCATTACACGGACAACGACAACAACATTCCCGTTCTGGAGATTTTTTTACTGGATCATCATTTAATTGTTGCAATTTCAACGATCATGCTCAATTTGAATCATCTGTACCAATGTTGACGGCAACGCCATGCAATGATCAGGATTATCCATTTTTGCATAAAATATTTCATACCTTATGTGCTAATCAAGATTTCATCAATTTTGGTTTTTTCAATGGCAATACATCTCCGGAACATGACTCACATTTATCACAACAAATGTCAAAATCAAAATCCGTTCTCTATCACTTGATTATCAAACAATTGGCTCAGGATGGCTATGGACAAATAGCACATGAATTGTCGAACAAAATGACTGATTTGAATGATACGTCGATTTTTCCACAACGCACTTTGCACGAATTGTTCAACATTTTGTTTTACATTGAAATTCGTAGCAAGTCGGATGAAAGATTTTTCAATTTTTTAAATTGGTTTTTCGCAAACAGCGTAGACGGTGGCTTTTTTTCTTCACAATCCTCTTTGGTGAACAACACATCCAACACTTGGTCTGGATCAATGTCATCGATTCAACCATTTAGACGAATCGGTGCTGCTGCTGGTGGTGGTGGTAGTGGAGCCAATTTATCGAATCCACCTATCTATCGTCCATTGGATTCATCATCAGTCATCTATGAAACAGAATCGGATGGAACAATGTCATTGCCATTGAATAATGCTAGTGTTGGAGAAGCAAAACAACTACAAGTGGCTTATAAATTTGGTCAAATTGGTACTGAACCCGGTTGTTTAGATACACCACATGGATTTTGTCTTGGCGTTAACGATGATATTGTTATTGCCGATACAAACAATCATCGAATTTGTGTGTTTGCCTTTAATGGGAAATTCAAATTTAGTTTCGGCGAATATGGCATTGAACATGGAAAACTTCATCAACCAAGAAAGGTAAGATTTTAAATGAATTAGCGATAATCTTGACTTTTTTCTATAAAAATAGATTGCAATGTTACCACCAGCCATTTTACGTCCCGAAGATTCTAATCCTGTATTTATAGTTTGTGATCGTGGCACAAAACGTTCTCGAATGCAAATGTTCTCTTTGGATGGTCATTACATTCGTTTAATCGATATGCCACCGATGGATATTGTAAGCGGCTTGACTACCACACAAGATCGCCGTATTATTGTTGTCGACTCGGTTCGTTCTGGTTTGATTGTTATGGATGAATTTGGTGGCCTTTTGAATTGGTTTACTTGTTCACCATATATGATGGAACCGTCGGATATTACATTCCATAACAAACATTTCTACATATGTGATTTTAAAGGTCATAATATTTGTGTCTTCAATGCACATGGTGTTTTGGTTCGCCGTCTTTCAGCAAAAATGCTTCGATTTCCTAATGGCATTGATATATCGGACTGTGGTGATATTATCTGCGGTGATTCACATGGCAATCGATTTCATATTTCAGTATTCAATGAACAAGGTCAACTACTTGGCGATCATGATTGTCCATATGTAAAAGTATCACGATGTTGTGGACTTCGATTATCGGCCGATGGTTTTATCGTTACATTGGCTAAAAATAATAATCATGCTGTTGTTTTGAATTCTATCAGCGTTAGAACAACAACAACAGCAATTGATGTTTCTAACAGTGTTAGCAACACTTCACATCAATCATGATACAAAATCCATGATGATGATCATGTTTGATCCAACTCAATTCTTTATATCTCCATTTTTTTATAGTTATTATAATTATCATCATTATCTTTATTTATTATTATTATTCATTATTCATTCAGGGTTTAATTTTTTTTCCACACACACACACAATTCAATTTTTCAATTTTTAATCATGATGTCGAAAATTTTCCAAACCAATTTTGGTAAAAATTTATTTTCAATTTCTTTTAATGTCAACATTCCCTTTTAAAAAAATAAAAATTTTTGATAATTTTAAAAACAAAAAAAAATAAACTTTCAATTTCCAATTGATTGAACGACATCAATTTTAAAATCTCTTTCACGGAGACGTTCTAATAGCTGGGTATTACGAAATGCTGATGCCGGTGTCAATACCCCTTTCGGAATTTTATCCGATTCCATCAGTATGGTGAGACCCGCTTGAACCAAACAAGTTGATGTTGCCATATAACCGGGGTCTTTACCAGAAACTTGTACCATAATTGTTTCATCAGGTTCCTCGTCTGGTTCAACATCAATATCATCTTTATTTTGTTGTTGTTCCAATACTCGTTTCGACCATCCACGACCAATAATCGTAGTACGAAAACGAGTCGATTCAATTTGTGTACGTGATGGGCCTTTTTTACTAAAAGCACCGGCTGTGAAAAATTCTGGATATTCGGATAATAATCGTGCACCAAACGATGTAGCTGTCATCAGGGCAAACATAGCTGCAAAAACAATTAAGCCAATCAAATGAGTAAATGATCCAACCGTGAAATAGGTTTGTATCTGCAATGGTGGTTCATTGAAATGTTCATAATTATAGTATTGGGTACGTTGAACCACTGAACGATCACTTCCAGGAAATTCAACATTCCATCCGGATATTTCAGAACGGGTGAATGGAGCAATTCTAAATGAAAACAAAAAAAAATTTTTTTTAAACACTATTCAGTAATCAGAAAATGAATGAATTACTTTCGTTTAAGAACTGTACGACTTTTTGGAATTTTTTTCGTCAATACTTCAGCATAAAGTCTTCGACGAATAGCTCGCAATTGATTCATGGTTCGATATCCATTAATCGCTGAATTCAATGTACCGGTATTGATTTTATATCCTTCTGAGCCTGGAATCGTAGTAACAAACGTTTCAACCGAATGTAAACGTCCAAGAAATTGTTGTTTAGTAAAATGAACACCAAGGTCACAAGGAATAGAATCCCATCCACATGTTGATAAAATAATTATTCCTTTCTCTTTGGCTTGATGATGATAATCAATAGCCATTGCTTCGATATAATTTGGTTCACCAGAAATATCAATATGATGTGTACCTGCATCGACACAAGCTTGTACTACAGGACGTCCATAATGACAATATGGTCCAACACAATTGATAATCAAACGTGAACGTCGAGCCATTTCCAGTAATGAATTTGAATTCGAAACATCAGCCACAATTTTTGTCACATCTGTAAGATTTTTATTCAATTCATTACCAACTTCATTTAATTTTATTGACATTTTTTGTTCATTACGACCAGCGATTGCCCATTTTAAATTTTGATATTCATGGTTACGTTGTTCCAACGAAAGCAACAATTCACGAAGTACATAGAATCCAGTGAAACCAGTAGCACCAAAAATGATTACATCAAATTCTTTGGTCGATGTCATGATGAAATAAGACTATAATCCGCCGAGTTTAAGGCACTTTATTAAAATAGTAGTCGACGACAATCAATTTGATTATTAATCACGATATATGTACCCGGAGAAACGACACATCGACCGAAAATATTGAGTTGTCAAAATGTTTCAATTCATTTTATTATCAATCAATGCTATAGGCTTGCCATCTGCTGGCTAAAAAAAATAAATAAAAAAATTTCAATTTTTTTTCTCAACATAATTTGATTTCTTTATCGTTGTCGTCGTGGTCGTTTCTGCCGCATAAGCAGCAGTAGCAGCAGCAGAAACATCTTGAACTTTTGCAATATTTTTCATCATCAATAATTCAATAAATTGTCGACTGCGAAATGATCGTGGTTTTTTAGTGAAAATTTCTGTCAATGATTTCCAACTTGTTGCAACATATTTATTTGATGATGATCCATTGTCCATCGATTGTGATTGCAATTCTAGATCATTGAAATGAGCTAGTTCCATTGATTGTGGTTTTTGTGGTCCCAATAAATCATCAATCTTCTGTAGCAATTCAATTAGAAATGATCGACCATGTTCAGTGTTGGAAATGGCACGATCCAATTTTTCGATACGATTTTTGCGTTCATCACTTTCAGGCAGCTGTGTTTCAATCATACGACGAACAAATGATAATTGTTCAGGATCGGGTATCTGATCGGTTAATAATCGTTTAATTTGTTGCCGGTCATTCGCAGATATTGTATTCGGTGCATACTTCAATTTACGATAAATCCAAATTGGCCATCCATGCCACAGCCACATAAAATCATTAACATCCGCCAATAATTCATCAATTTCTAATCGTAATCTTTTATCCGTACGGATTTTTGGTTGAAATTTTTGCGGCATTTTCGAGTAAAAAAATTTTTTTTTCGTTTGTTTAAATGAATGAAAAAAGGATGCAAATTTTATTTTTCTTTTTCTTTCTTTTTTTTCTTCTTTCTGTGTGTTCGAATGCCCAAATTGAATTTTTTCTCTTTGAAATTCACAAAAAAAGAAATTGAATTCTAAAAAAAATGTGAAAACATGAAAACAGAAAAAAATGAAAGTACAATTTATATTATAAAATAAAATATATAACCAATCAATCAATCAATTAATTGATCGATAAAAAATAAAGAAAAACGAACGAACGAAAAAAAATCGATCAAGAAAATGCGTGTGATAACCATCATCATTGAACAGAAACAGTGAGAAAAAATTAAAATTCATCAATGTAATTTGTGAAACACTCACAACAGCAACAACAATTGTTTATCTTTTGAATTTTGGAGATTTTTCAGAAAAAAATTTATAATTTTTTGAATAAGTTGGGTGGTTGGTTTTTCACAAAGTCGAAATAGTTAATTTTTATATTTTCAAAATCATGTTTCAGAGAGACAGAGTATATATAGAACAAAATGGAACAAAAAAAAAAAAGATTTTTGAAATGAATTTAAAAAAGATAGAATTCGGCTCGTTTTTTTTCATCCTTCATCATCATCGTCAACGTCGTCATCATCAGTTTCTTCATCTACTTCGTGGTCATCGTCGTCATCATCAGTCAATTCTTCATCGATAAGATTTTCTTCATCATCATCATCATCATCATCTTGTGGTTTATTATCATTACTATTTGATTCTACTTTGGGCTTTTCATCAGCAGCATCAACATTATTTTCAATATCTGCCGTTGAATCAACAACGGGAACATCATCTATAGATGGTCCCGTTTTTCGTTTTTTTCCATCATTTTTATTATACACACGATTCGTTGCCGAATTTGTTAATGGATTTTCCGATGCTGATGTCGTTGTTTTAATCATCTGCTGTAATTGTAGCTGTTTTTGTTGCATCTCTTTTATACGTTCCATATTGGTTTCAATCAATTTTTTCAATCCTTGTTGTTGTTTACTAGTATCTATCGGTTGTTGTTTGAGCTCTTCCAATTTAGTCATTAAATGTCGTTGATTTAATAGTAATTCTCGCAATTTTCGATTCAATTCATCCGATTGTTGACGATATGTTTGCATCAACAATGTTCGACGTTTACGTGCAGCAGCTACAGCTGCCGCATTGAATACTACTTTTTTAGCCGGTGGTGAAGACGCTGCCTGTTCCTGTTGTTGATTCTGTTGTTGTTGACCTTGTTTAAATTTTTTCAACATATTTTTCGTTATTTCAACACGAAGATCTTGTTGTTGTTGAGGAGCTTGAGGTTGTTGTTGTTGATCATTATTGGTGGAAAATTTTCGTTTACTCGTCATATTATTAATGTTGTTGGTTGAACCATCAGATTGTTGTTGTTGTTGTTGTTGTTGTTCACGGTCACGAGCCCAAAAGACTTTGATGAAACGATTATTTAAAACTGGTTCGGTGGAACGGTATGCACGATTCGCTTCGAACGGTGATGAATATTGGATTAAAGCCGACTCAGGATCCAACTTTTCACCATCACCTGCATCGGTAATAATAGCAGCACAGCCAACTTTAATATTGACAATTGAACCAAATTTTTGGAAATGATCATTCAACAAATCGATGCGATTCTGATGTGGTGGTATTTTTTGTATCAACAATGTAGATGATCGATTCTTTTTGTTTGTTGTATTGTCATTAAATCGTTGCTGGCTATTATTATTATTTCTCTGATTATTACGACGATTTTGATGATGATTCTTGTGGTTATGTTCCAGCTGATGTTGCAGCGGTTGTTGTTGTTGTTGAGACTGGTTTCCATATCCACCACCAGAAGTTCGAGTTAATTCAATATTGTGAGCATTACCATCTTGCTGTTGTTGTTGATGATTATGATCATGATTAACAATCGAAGAATTAATTATCTGCGAAGGAGGATTACTATTATCATCATCATCATTGCCAACTAATGATACGTTAACCAAATGTCGATGTCTCATTTTATTCGGCTGCTGTGTCGATGGCTGTTGTATAGAATTAGTATTAGTCATCAAATTAGCTGATCGATAATTCCTAAATTTAGAAAAAAAACGAAAAAAAATTGAGTTAGAAAAATGAAATATAAATAAAAAAATCGAATAATCGAACATTAATTGTGATTGATTAAAAATGGCATCTTCTGGATTATATGGCTCAGCAATAGCGGCAGCAGCAGCTGCTACAGCGAAATAATTAGATTGTAATGGATTTTGGGTCAATACGTTTGATGATAATGTTTGCGGTTGTTGCGGCTGCTGATGCTGTTGTTGATAGATATTATCGCTACCGCTAACGGAAGAGGTCGTTGTATTTGTTGCTGCCGTCAATTGTGATGGCCCTGAACTATTCGTATGATGATATTGAGATTGTTGTTGTTGCTGAGTATAAGAAGATCCATGTGATTGATGTGAATGCGAATGATGATGATTGTTACGACCATTCGAAGATCGATGACGATTTTGATATCTATTACGATTATTATTATTATTAGTACTGTTATGTTGACGATTTCTATGATGGTGATGATTAGATGATGTCCATGATCCGACATTACCACCACTACCATGGTTGTTTCTATTATTATTCCACGACGATTGATGATGACGATTACGATTGTTCATATTATTAGACATAGGGTCCATCACCGTTGATGTTGGATGTCTCGTTGTTGTCGATGATCGATGATGACCTCTATATCTACGATGACGATGATCACTATCATCATCGGAATCATCATCATCATCATCGGATTCTTGACTCGAATTCGTCTGATCTTCATCATCATCGCTATCTTTATCACGTCCATCATAATCAATATTATTGCCACCACCACCACCACCATCATTACCATTATCGTCTTCAGAATCATCATCTTCATCATCATCATCCGAATCTGAACGTCGACTGCGAAATCTATAGGAAGTGGATGATCTATGATGATGACGATGATGTCTTCGATGATCATTACTTCGTGAATCTATACGACCATATCGGTTATTACTACGACTCCGGCTACGACTTCGTCTTGTGGTTTGATTCGATGGACGTGATGATAATTCGGTTTCCCGATCATCAACATTGTGATCACCAACAACATTAGTGTATTGATGATGATTCGAATGTTTATATGAATCTATAGCTGTTGCTGTTACAGTGGTGGTGGCATGGTCAACATTTTTATTATTCGATGACATGGCTTTCGTATCCATTTCATTATTTGAATCATTCGATGGATTTTTTGATGAATCAATTAACGAATTATTAGTCGTCGTCATATGTCTATAGTCTGTGTCATTATTATATGGATTGGTGGTGGTCGTCGTCGTCGTTATTGTTGTTATCGATGATGAATCGAAATGGTCCATTTCTGTATTCGTTGTCGTCACCGTTATTGATGGTTGATCAGAATCAACAAATCAATTTTCTCAGATTATTACTGATGATGATGAGTATTTGTACTTGTAGAATTCATTAAGTCGATACTGGATTTTTGGATTGATCATTCGATGTTCCAGACGATATATTATTATATTATATTATAATTAAATGAATAAATTATGTAAAACAATAATAATGCACGTGGAGGACAAATGACAATACACAAATAATAAAATTCGATAACCAGAAAAGTAAAAAAAAAAAAACCAAAGAAATCCTTAATAAACGACAAAATCACAACATACATATACACACCACACAAGTATAAAATCCTGACCACCTTCTAAACTCAACATTATGAAAATAGGCCACTACTTTTACCACCACACACGGAAGCAGCATGGTAAACTACTGAAGAGTATGATTTGCAAATCAAGTTGAGCATCAAACATCATCGATAATAAGGCCATCTAGTGTCGCGAAAATTCAATCGATTCAATTTATAAATTCGATTTTTTTTTTTGGAAAATTTGATATCTATGGATAATTAATTGATCATAAAAAGAAACAAAACTCACTTACCCTATCATATGTTTTAGATTAGAAGGATTTGATTTGATTTGTTATACCATCAGCAGAAGACTAAAACTGATGATGATACTTCAGCATATATCAAGAAAAACTTATCATCAATTTACCCAGAAGTGCGATAACAATAATGATGAGTTAAGTTCAATAGTGAAGTGATTGATCATATCGTCATATTGATTGGTCACAATACAGTGTGCATGTGCTACGTTGTGTTAAGAAAAAAAAACATCATCATCATCATCATCTAACAAATGATTGCTTGATGAACATTGATCGATTCAATCTTAAGATTGTTTGAGTGAAACAAAGTGAAAGTTGAATAAAGAATTTTTTACATGGCTTACTATTCGCGTAATCTACTACTATGGTTATTGTTTATAGTAATATTGACAATCATCATCGATAATAATGGACAACTATTTTTTGTTGAAGCACAGACATCCTCGCCATCACCCAGAAGTTGGACATTCGATGATCCAACAATACTTCGTCATGTACAAATAGTGTTTCGTCATGGTGATCGAACACCAGTTTGGGTTGAACCACCTGAGCCATATTATGAACAAAGAAAATATTGGCCACAAGGTTTTGGCCAACTGACCAAACAAGGAAAAGCAAAAGCTTATCGACTTGGACAGCTATTACGTGATTTTTATAGTGATTATCTTGGTATGAGATTTTCCACTCAAGAAGTATCTATTCGAAGCTCGGCATTGGATCGATGTATCGAAACTGCTCAATTGATTATGGCAGGTTTGTTGTTTTTCACGTTTTATTTGATTGATTGACTCGGTTAATGACCACATTCGTATTTATTCTTCAGGAGCTTATCCACCCAATTCTAGTCTTGCACGTTGGGATATTAGTCCATATACTGAACCGTTAGCTAAATTATGGCAACCGACACCCATCGAAACATTCATACCGGCTGATGACGATACATTACTTCGAGTGAATAAACCATGTCCAGAAGCGGATGAAACAAAAGAACGATTGTTAGATTCTCGCCGAAATAGACGTTTATTACAACGACATCGTCAAATGTTAGATCAATTGGAAAAAATCCTCTCAAGCCATCTTCATACGATTGAACAGGTTTCAAATGTACATGAAAATATGAATATTATGCACGAGAATGCTTATTATTGGTACAAATGGCAACCAGAATCTGGTAATCGTAGTGAAGAACTTTCTCAATGGACACAAGAATCAGAAGAAGAAATCAAAAGACAATTACGACAATTCGAAATGGCTAAATATCGTTCAATGTTTGATGATGATTTTATCAAACAGGTTCGTGCTGGTGAGCTATTACATCGAATTGGTGATATATTCAAGTCGCGACGTTCAGTACTTGAACCAGCTACCGATTTAGATCGAGATTATCGTTTGAATCTGTATTCAACACACGATACCAAATTAGTTGCTTTGTTACAAACATTGAATGTATGGAATCATGAACTTGTACCATATCTTGGAACATTAATGTTTGAATTACATCAAAGCCGAGAGAATTCTTCACAATACTATGTTCAATTATGGTATCTGAATGAAACAGCCGATCTACTTGAATCAAATTACGAGTTACGACCTCATCGATTAGATATTCCCGGTTGCGATCATGATGAATTCGATGCAGACGATCTTATGTGTCCACTAGATGATTTTCTAATTTTAATTGAGCCATTTCGACCACCACAAGATTGGAAACACTCATGTGGTGTTCATTCTGAATTGACAGCCATGATTAGCGTGAATATTCTTCTATTGATTGTTAATCTAACAATGATGTTTTTCCTATTAATGGGAATCATGTACGTTTGTAGTTGTATCAACAATCGTTCTGGATATGAACGATTACGATGATTTTTTTTTGTATTCTAATTCGTTTCAATAACACTAAAAACAAAACAAACAAATTCATTCACAAACATCCACTGAAATATTGAAGATAACATACTCACTTTGTGTGTTTTTAATTTATTAATCATTAATCAATACTAACACTTTGATCACATTTGTAAAGTTACATTATTTTTGTTGAATTAAAAATTCAGAATGAGAATAAACGAGCAAAAAAGATTTTTTGAACACACACATACAATACGATACTCGATACAATCGATTGTTAGTGGCTACTTCCTTTATTCACTGTATTTCATCAGGCATTTTCGTTTTGAAGTTTTCCAAATTTTTTTGATCAAAAAAACAATGAATGAGATGTGGATTATCGGTATTTTCTTATCAATTTTTTTGGTTTTATTCATTTTTCTTGTTTTCATCACACGAAAAGGTCAGTTTACTGCGATCATTTGCATTTCTGATGCGTATTTTCTTTTATTATGTAGCTTTCGAATTTATGCGATCAACAGATCAAAGATTAATCATTTTGGAAGCGCTTATGGACAAAATTTTGTCAATCACTAATGATTTGAAAGCAATGACAAATACTAATGATGATGCATTAGTGGAACAAAATTCCATTCAACGTGAACGACAGACCAAACATCGACTTGAAACATTCGGTTCAATTGGCTCTAAAAATCGTTACAGCTATCGACGTTTGTGGCATCCACTTTTACGTATGCCATCAACATCTTCTTCCAAATGTTTGAATCTTCATGATAATAGCAAAATTCATGACAAAAATAATGTAAGCGCTACTAGTTTCAAACCATTGGATACAGAGAATTTTCCATTTGTTAGTCATGAAGATTCTTGCATCATCAATGTGATTTCTGAAAATTCCGATCCAAAAATGTATGGATCTTCAGCTGCTAATAGCAATTCAGCAACATTAGATCGATCATCAAGGGCAAAAAGAGCTCATCCATCTACTAATGCTAAAAATTCACCACATATCATCTATATTGATGAAATGAAAGAAATATCCAATCAATTGAATCATACAAATCATCGGGAATCAATTGAAGATTCGAATTTTAAATTGGTCGACAAAGTACGTGAAGAATTTGACAAATCATATAATCGTATGATGGAAACTTTGAATCAAGAGGATACCATCGACTATGATAATCATGAATCAGAGTTATAATTTCGATTTTCGTTCAATTTTCCACTTCTTTCATTTTTAACTTTTACATTTCGTATCATTGATATATTTGGGTGGTGGACTTTTTCTCAATTTCCCTAATACATGGGTTTTCCTTTTTTCATTTTTGTCCAATCATCTATACACAATTGTTTTTTATCAAGACTTACAATAAGAAAAATTCAATAAAAAAAAACTTTTCTGATTTAATACTATTTGAACAAAATGTTTCTTTATTTGATCCTGATGTGTGTGTGTGTGTGTGTAAATAAATAGTTGGCTGTAAACACGCTAATAGTGTAATTTGCACGTGTGTGTTTCGATTTTTTTTTGAATTCAATTTTAAGAATTCTAGACTAGACCTGATTGAAAAAACAATGCCTTTTTTCATTCGTAACAAAGCAAAATCATTGAAAAATAAGGTATTTTTTCTGTCATTGTTTTCATTTATTTTATATTTTTATTTTATTTTCATAGACACGTGTCAAAAATGGCCACACTACTACAAGTGAAAAGAAATTTAAATCATCCAATAAAAAAGTTCAACCTGCTGATCTAGATGAAGAAATTCTTAGTGACGACCTCGAAGACGATGAAGATGATATTGTCAGTGAGAATGATTCGCTAGATGATAATGATGGCAGTGGTGGTCGAAGAAAGAAACGAAAAAATGATGAACGAATCGAATTGTCCGAAGATGAAAATGAAACAGCACAAGAGAAAAAGATACGATTGGCCAAAAAATATCTTTCTCATTTGGAACAGTCAGAAATGTTTGATAGTAGAAAAGATGACGATGAAGATGATGGTGACTTGGACGATCGATCGAATCTTATATCATCACATTTGAAAGAATCGGTTTTAGAAAAATTGGGTAAACTTCATCGAACTGTAGCTCATCGATATGGTCCAATCGATGATTTATCCAAATTGATTGTAATGAAAAATGGCCACAAAAAAGCTATCACAGCAGTGGTTGTCAGTAATGATGGTCGTTTTGTATTTTCTGCATCCAAAGATTGTAATATTGTCAAATGGAATCTTAACAGTGGTAAACGTTTACATACGATCTACGGAAATCATCGTGCCAATCCTGAAACGTATAACAAAGGTCATACAGCAAGCATACAATCATTGGCTCTGTCAACGGATTTTAAATTTTTAGCTTCAGGATGTAAAAATAAAGTGATTCATATTTGGAATCCTGAAACTATGATTCACATTCATACATTTCGTGGACATCGTGGATCAATTACAGGTCTTGCATTTCGCCGATCATTTCATCAGTTATTCAGTTGTTCTGAAGATAGAATGATAAAAGTATGGAATCTAGATGAAATGGGTTATGTGGAAAGTTTATTTGGTCATCATGATTCCATTACGGCCATTGATTCATTTGTGCGTGATCGTTGTATTACTTCGGGTGGCCGTGATGGTACTATTCGACTGTGGAAAATTCCGGAAGAATCCAATCTTATTTTTCTTACCGGTGGTATGGCCACGATTGATTGTGTTCGATTTATTGATGAATCGCATTTTATTTCGGCTTCCGACGATGGATCAATATCATTATGGGCTATATTTAAAAAGAAACCTTTGCAAACTATATCACAAACACATGAACCAAATCATTGGATTACATCGTTAGCATCGTTAAGGAATACCGATCTTTTCGCATCAGGTATGTATTAGCTATGCCCGTTGTCCATTTTATTTAATGTTTTTACGCCTCTATTCATAAGGTTCACATGATGGTCGTATAATATTTTGGAAAATTAAACCTGAATTCAAAGGTTTCGAACGATTATTCGATTATAAAGTGGATGGATTCATCAATTCAATGGAATTTACCACAAGTGGTCAATATCTAATAGTGGCTATATCACAAGAACATCGTTTAGGACGATGGTTTGAAAGATTTAAAAATGTTCATAATGTTTTACATATAATTCCTATGAATGTGATCGAATCATCCTCGTCATCATGAATTTGGATTAGTTTTTTTTGGCACATCTTTATGTAAATAAAAAGTTCAATATGTTAATATTCAGCTCAATAAAATTCGAAATTTTCATTTTCATATATGATGAAAGGCTATAGTCCAGAGAAAAAAAGGGCAACGATCTCTTTAATCGTCGATTCTATCACACACACACATACACGCAGAGAGAGTCGAAAGTGAAACAATTCGATGTTTTATTACTGTCTGTTGAATTATTGTGTTTAAACCATCACCCTCCACATAGACAATCGTTCGGAAATCAATCTAACCACAAGCGCACATTATCAACAACAACAAACACCTGTTGGTGAATAAAAAAAAAATTTCTATGGAATCATTATGTGTTTTTTCCGTTTGTGAAAATGTCATTCACTCATTTTAATCACAAGGTTGTAAACATTTTTCTCGATGGAAAAATGTTTACATCTCTCTAATTGAAATTTTTTTCATCAAATAAACATTATCTAAATGAATTTTTTTTTAGTAAATAAATAGCCAAATACTGGTTTTTTCAATCGTATGATCATCAAACCAAACAACCTCATTATTCATGCAGAATACGAAAGAGAGAAATAGAGAGAGAAAGTGTATGAAGATGACCAATTAATAACCCTTCTTCATTTTTTGATTCGATTTTTGGCTGGCCAATCGCCTCAATCCAGATAAATTTGTTTTTTTTCGTTGATATAAAAACGAAAAAATTTTTTCTTGTGATTCAGCAATAGATTCAGCATCTCATCCATCTCGTTGTTCAAAGCTTCATATTTTTCAAATTTTTTTTTTAAATCTTGACCACAATGTTCCTCAAATTGTTGGTATGGTTTTTCGTTCTTTCGTTTTTAAATGATTTAACTTTATTTAAATTTTTTTTTTTTAAAGATTTTTGCTTTAATCCTAATTGCCAATTCATTTGGTCAACTAGTTGGTCGTAATGTTGGCGAACAGCCACATTGGTCGGTGAATAATATTCAATTTTCCAATAATTTCCATTCTAGAAGACCTAGAATTCATTCTGCTTTACGTGTTCCAAGATTTCCGTTGATTGAATCAAATAGAATGCCAATGTTATCACGTTATCTACGAGAACGACAAAATCAACGCGAATTATCGGCCAATCTAATGTCATCATTTGGATCACGTGTTGTAAATAATAATAATTTCGAATGAAGTGAACACAAAAAAATGTATGAAATGTTTCTATTTTTATTTCGATTTATAATCTCTATAAAAATAATAATAAATGAATGCTAATAAAAAACGATTCAAATTAAGACCAATCGATCTCAGTGGTGATTGTACCGGTGGTTATACCATCACTTATGTGCATTGAATATGGCCGACCAAGATTACGACGATCAATTAATTCTTTAAGACGAAGATGTGCACCACCAATAAATTGTCCTGGTTTTCCATTCGGTGTTCGCAGTGTTTGTGTCGAATTATGTGTCCAAATTTCGAAAATAATTCGTGAATTCTGATTTATTGGATAACGTTCAGACATTGGACATGGTGAAATGTAACGTGGTGTACGTGTTTCACGTACCAAATCACTTGAACAACTATGACAACGATTTAGCCAATAATGATCTTCTAATGGTAAATGATGAATTGGTTCGGCAACATTATTCAGGACACATATCATTAGATATGTATCCAATTCTGGTGTGGTCAATTCAGCTTTTGTTGAAAGAATGGTCAGATGGCCAATTTGACGACTTGGAACCGGCACAACAATTGGTGATGTTGGCGGGCCTTGATGATGCGATGGAACTTGTCGTGGTAAACATCGACCTGATTGACATCTATAATCAATTCTATCGGCTTCCATTGAATCAGGTCGACAAGATTGTCCAGAATTCACTTCTTGTATTCGGGTACGGCCAGTAAAATTACATTGTAATTGACAATGATAATTCAAAAAGAATGTACCTTCAACATCGGCTTCAATACGATACATTGATTGACAAAGTCTTCGTGCTTCTTCTTGGTCAACATTCAATTGAGCAACAGTAACAATAAATGATCCATAAATGACCATCAAAGTAATCGATAATAGAATTAATTTTGACATAGTTGAATAATGGAGATTTTCTTTCTATTCATTCAGGATATAAAACAACAATTTCAAACGATTCAATGAATCGATGATCGAGCAAAGGCATCATCACACGTAAATATTATCGGCTTTCACACGATTTTCTCTGTGATAAATTTCAATTTTGTTGATAATAAACATGAACACATCTTATTTTTCTTGGATAAAAAAAAGATGATTTTATTCACAATAAACAAAATAATACTACTAAATTATATTATTTGTGTATGTGTGTGTGTGCACAGTCAGTTTTTTTTCACACAAAAAAAAGTTGCTCTCATTTTCTCTGGTGATGTTTTTTTTGATAATCTCTTTGCAAAGAGACAATCGAAAATCATGTCATATTCCTCGTTAGATATATCTATAGATTGATATTGATGATTGTCTCAGATATGAATGAGAATGGCAAAGTACGCCTAAGATACCGACAAATGGTCCAAGTCGATTATTTCGAACGGAATTGAATTTGTTCGTTTTTTATGAAATTTTTCTGGTGTGTGATGTGCAAATTTTTTTTGTGATTTCATTTGTTTTTTCATTTGATGAGACAGATGTTGCTGCTACTGCTGCTTGGAGACCATCAACAGCCAAACCAACATCATCATTAAACTTTTTTTTCTGTCCAATCCACACACACACACACATTCAATGAATAAATTGAATGAGCACAAGTGCCACATTTTTTTTTTATTGTTAATCACGGCGAAAAAATTCCATCAAAGAAATTACTTTATATTATTCTTTAACGTCATCGGCAAGTTTTTGGTAAAAAAAAATTAAGCATGAGACAAGATGATGATGATGATGATGATGATTGGATACCTTATAGTCGACCATTTTTTTTTATTGATTTACTGATTACTGGTATGTAATAGATAGATAGATGTATAAAAATCAAATGAAATCACAAACACAATGACAAAAGATGATGACGATGATGATTAGAGAGATTCGGATGACAATAAAAAAACGTATAAAGCGCATATTTATATAAATTCGTAATATTAGAGGGAAAAAATTTCTTTCCATTGGTTGTTTTGTTTCTGGAGACATCTTATATGTTGTCAACAATCGTATATGTCATTATGACAAATTTAACCCTGGTAAATTGAATGCAGATGATTTAGATGATGAACTTGAATAATTGACAAATATTTTCTTTTTAAGGACAAACCTGAATTCCGCATAACACCAAGGCCAATTTCTTCAATGAATAATGGATCTGATAGAATGATCGGTAATGATGATGATTCTTCTGGCTTCAAGTCAATACCTTCATTACAAAAAATGAAAAATAAACGACAACGATCCACATCGCTTACATTATCGGGGAAAAAATTTATAAAAAAATTTATATCACGAAAATCATTACCATTTATTCACGATGATGATGATCATCAAATGATGATGCATAAAAATCGATTAACGACACATTCCAATAATGAAAATATCTGTCCACACACAACATCCGGTCATTCGATGGTATCGAAACAACAACGGCCAAAATTGCAACCATTAAAATCAGTGAATATGGATTTAAATAATGATGAACATCGTTTTGAAAATTTTTATGGTAAGTCATTCGAATCATCAAGTTAATAACATTAGTTGATAACAATAGTTTTCTATCTAGATAATTATGACACAATCACATCATCAAGAATTCAAGTGAATATTCTAAATAAAGCATACAAACAACAAAAACAATCTGAACGAATTCGATTTGCACATGAGCAAATGAATCGTTCGAATAAGTCATCAAAGAATTCGAAATCTGATTCACCCGATGATAATGCAGATTTAGAATTAGACATTGATAAGTATCTTGTCAAAAATCATGGAATGTTTTTTGTATCATTGGCTGAAGCTAAGCAATATGAATCTGTTTGCAATCAATTGCTTGATGAAATAATCGATGATGAAAATATTAAATGTATCGTCCATAGTTTACAACAAAAATGGCAAAAATATCGACAACAATCATCGCGATTGATATTTTTTTATCAAATGTTTTCATTCATGTTTAAACGTTATCTACAAATGACTATTTGCTGGCATCAAAATCCTTGTCCATCCCATGTGAATGTTGCAAGATTTAAACGATTCGCTCTGCCAATCTTACAAGAATTCATGAAACTTGTTAATCCAAATAAAAATATGATCTTACAGGTTGAACTATTGGCTGCAATTGAATCATTGATTTCGCATAAACAAGAATACATGGTTGCTGTGGCCGATGTTTTTGATCTATTATTAAAATCACCATTAATCGAGTCATGTGCATTACTGGAATGGTCAAGATTAGAAGATCCGCATTGTTATAGTTGTGATTCTCAATTTCAGCAGCAATCAACATCGATGACAATTATGATTTCACAATCATCATCAAACCATCATCGAAAAATGGCTAAATCGAAATCAAGTAGTATTTTGATGATAAATGATCATAAACAAGTGAAAGAACAACAGCAACAACCGGGTTCAGCAAGACCAACAATCCGTAATCTTATCATTAAACAACTTGAAAAGAATGGAATACCTTTATTGAAAAAACAAATTAGAAATTCAATATCATAAATAGTTTTGTCTTTTTCTTTCTTTTTTTTTTTTTTTTTTTGATTTTGATTTTGATAATCAAAATACCAATTTAATCTTTGGCTAATAAAAAAAAATGTAAATACATTTGGACTTAGCGACATCTAACAACTGAATATTGAATTGTCGAAGATTATTTTGGGAAAATGAAAATCATATGTTTCACATTCGATCTCTCCCCGGTGACTTGAATTATAACTCGAAATTTTTATTTCTTTTCTGTTTTTATTTTAATAATAAAAAAATGTGTAAAAATCAACACAACATTTGATTTTATTCATCTTTTGTAGTAGCCATTTTATTCAAACAAAAGAACAAAAATTCTTAATTATGGCTGGAATTAATGCCGATATGGTTATATTGACGGGAAATTCTCATAAAGAATTTGCGAAATTAATTGCTGAACGTTTAGGCGTGCGATTAGGTGCATGTTCAATTTATCATTCATCTAATCGTGAAACGGTAGCTGAAATTGGTGATTCAGTTCGTGGTCGTGATGTTTATATCGTTCAAACTGGTGCAAAAGATGTTAATAATGTCGTAATGGAATCATTGATCCTAGCGTATGCATGTAAAACATCATCAGCTAAAAATATCGTCGGTGTTTTCCCTTATATGCCATATTCGAAACAGTCCAAAATGCGTAAACGTGGCTGTATCGCTGCTAAATTGATGGCCAAATTGTTTTGTAAATCCGGCTTTACACATATAATCACAATGGATTTACATCAAAAAGAGGTTTGTCAATTGTTCAATGTCTAAAATCATGTCATCCACTTTTTTTCTCGAAAAAGGTCCAAGGTTTCTTCGACATTCCAGTCGATAATCTGCGTGCATCACCATTTTTATTGCAATATATCCAGGAATCAATACCGGATTATCGTAATGCAGTTATCGTGGCCAAAGATCCTGGTTTGACAAAAAAAGCAACTTCTTATGCTGAACGTTTACGTCTTGGTATTGCTGTTATTCATGGTGAACAAAAAGTTTCGGATTCCGATCAAATTGATGGTCGTTCATCACCACCACCGCATAATAATCTAAGTACATCGCCATCAGCATCATCATCATCGCTTGAAAGTCGTATTATTGATGTTCGATTGGACATTATACCTAGTTTAGCGGAAAAGAACAAACCACCAATGACCGTTGTTGGTGATGTTATGGGACGGATCGCTATTATTGTTGATGATCTTATCGATGATGTTGCCGCATTTGTAGCAGCAGCCGAGGTTCTTAAAGATCGTGGCGCCTATAAAATCTATGTATTAGCCACACATGGTCTATTGAGCCAGGATGCACCGCGTTTGATTGAAGAATCACCAATCAACGAAGTTGTCGTTACAAATACCGTACCGCATGAAGTTCAAAAATTACAATGTGCTAAAATCAAAACTGTGGATATATCCATTTTAATATCGGAAGCAATTCGTCGTATTCATAATAATGAATCAATGTCTTATCTATTTCGCAATGTTACTTTGGAAGATTAACACCAGATTTTTTTCCATCTTGATATAACATTGAATTTAAATTTGAATTTTCTCAATTAATTTTGTAATCCAGTAATTTTGGGTTATGCAAAAACCCAACTGTTCTAACACAGAAAGAAAAAAGTGGTGTCAAGCGATACTCGCGATTTTAGTGGTTCCATCAACTTCGATATATCGATAGTCTACTCTCGTATTTTTCGCGAGTACTCGCGATTTTCACCGACCACCCGACTGATTGTTTTTTCGATATATTGAAATCATCGATGGTGTCGCTCACCGATTGTTGCAGCAATTTTGACCCCCTTTCATTCCTTTTACCCCTCATATTAATTTAATTGATATATATTGAAATTTAATTGATTTTATTGAAATACACCAATAAATTATTTTAAATAATAAAATACATCCATATTTCACATTTGCGCCATAAAACGTTAATTGTCCCCGTTTGACATTCCATAATCGCGGTCCATTTACCATCATTTGTGGAATATCTTTGTTTCGATCAATCAATGTTATATGCCTAATTTAAATTTGAATTTTTTTTTCTAATTAATTTTGTAATCCAGTATTTTTGGGTTATGCAAAAAAACCCAACTGTTCTAAATTGAAAAATTTGAAACAATCCAATAAATTGATTTTATTGTCCATCACAATCGATAGCACAGAATATTCGATTTTCGAACATCATCACATCACATTGTTTAGTGATCAATTCGCAAATGTGATGGACGAATTTCGAGCAAACAATTATATGTAAACGGTCAGTCTCTTTTTTGTGTATATCGCTGAATTTATTTATCCATAAAGGAAATAGAATTTTGTTAATTTGTGAAATTTGAAGAAAAAAAATCATCTTACAAACTCTTGGTGCCATTGTGACAAACTACTTTTTTTACATAAACAAGAAGAAAAACCAGTTTTTCGGTTTTTGCTTGCAGCGAATGGTATGTTACTCTTGATACTCATTGTTAGTTTTTCGTCATTAAATCGAATTTCTGATTTCTGTTGATGATGATAGCATTGATTATCCATAAAAAACTAGCGCGATAACTCTCTTTCTCTCGTTGCTCATCGTCTTTGTTATACACACAGCTAAGAGATTTCTTGCTTTCACCCGGTTTTCGCCACTTTTTCATCGTTCGTTTATTTGTCACGTTCATTGGCAAGTTTTTTCTTTCTTCTTTTCACTTTGACCATTCACATTCACCATCATTCATCAAAAATCTAGCATTTATCGTTGCAAAAAAAAGTTCTATAAATCGAGCTAACAAAAAAATCATTTTACCCGGTGTGTGTTGAAGCTTTTTATTTCATTTTCCATTCATTCTATAATAAATCGAATTTTCAAATCAAATATGGTTCAATTCGAGGGTAAATATCAATTGGAATCGAGTGAAAATTTTGATGAATTTCTCAAAGAACTCGGTAAGTTTGACTTTGTTGTCCGTTCAAATTCCAAAATTTCTCATTATTGAAACTTGATGCAGGTGTTGGATTCATTTTACGTAATCTGGCCAAAACTTCTAAACCAACTATCGAAGTTATTCGCGATGGAGACTATTGGGTGATCAAAACTATTACCACATTGAAAACGACTGAAATTCGTTTCAAAATTGGTGAAGAATTTGATGAAGCACGAATGGATGGAAAAACCGTAAAAACTATCGTCGAAATGGATGGTGATAATAAAATGGTACAAACACAAAAAGGTGACAAAGAGGTGAAGATTATTCGAGAATTCAGTGAAAATCATTTGAAAACGGTACGTTTTGTTTATCTATTTAAAATAATAAATTAAATTCAAAAAAAAAAATTTCATTTACACCATAGACTTGCATAGTTGGAAATATAACTTCTGTACGAATTTATAAACGAAGCGCTTGATAATTGATCATTTATTCATCATAGCGAAAATTTTTTTCCCAATGAATTGAAATTATTGAAAAAACAAAAATTTATTTAATTTTCAAGAAATTAAAAATTTTATTTACAATTTGGTTTTTTGGTTCGTTAAGTAGAGATGGTGGTATGTTTTCATGCCATAATGATGTGATGGTCTGATTTTTGATTCTTAATGTTTGAATCAGCTGTTTTCGTGCCATCATCGATGATTGATGAGCCATAATATTGATGATGAAAATGTCGATGTTGATGTTGTTCAGTTCTATTTACCACTAATGGCCTTAATTCATTCGTTGAAACACGAAAACAATAAATAAATGAATATGTGAATGAAATGAATGAACAGATAATTAATGTTAGCCCAAAATATCCTAATGACCATGCTAATGAATCGGTTGCGGAATCAATCATCATATCGGATGCAATTCCTAGTATGAATAGGCCACCCAATAATGTTGCCATACCAAATGCATTTGGATCAAACATTGGTTCTTCGCTTATGGTCACTGATGATGAACTGCTGCTGGACATTTTCAACGAAATCAAAACCTAAAATTGAATTCCACCAATATAATATGTCAAGAATATATGTCACACACATTTGCTTGCCCAATTATTAATGATTGATTGATTTTTTTTATGTCTACTTCATCTACTGTTGCTGCTACTCAAAGTAAAAAAAATGTATATCGCATCACCATAGCAGATATCAATTGATAATCCAAAAAACCAGTGTTTAAGTGGCGTTTTTTTGTTTATCTATTTTTTTTCTTTGTTGTTGTTGCAATTGATAATGATGTGTAATCATTCAATCAAAAATTTCTATTTCCAGTAATCACTGAAGTTCATCATCTTCATCATCATCAACGTTAATTGATTGATTGATTATAACACGTGTGTGTGTGTGTGTGTTAGTGTTGTTTCAATGGTTTGATTAATTGATCGATTCTAAATTTAAAACGTCAATTAAATTTTATGAAATAGCAAAAATGAGTAACAAACTGATGAATAAGTGTTTTATTTTGTTTCCCATTTTTTGGGAATTTTGAACTAGCACATTTTCCAAGATTCAACAGTGTCTTTGGTGAAGTAATCGAATTTGTTTCGGATTTTCCCCAATCAAGGTAATTGTCATTATAAATTGTTGTAAAATGTCATTTAGAGAAAAAAAAACTTGAAATTACAATCGGAAAAAGATAGTTGCGTTTCTTAGTTTATTCAACTAAGGCATGAACTTGTTGTTGGGGAAAACACTTTATCGATATGAATGTCACGGTTCGATTGATAGTGTGCGTGTGCAATAACTTGCCCACTTTTGCTTATTCATCCACTAATCCAAAATGTGTGAGAATTAAATTGCATCAATATATAAATGGTGTCCAACAATATGTTTGAGAACAAACATTTCTTGCATTTTGAATTTGAATCAAATTTTTTTTTTCACAATGAAGCTACCGACGATTACTATTTTGATATTTACAATCATCATTCTGTTGGATATTGTAAACGGTATCCTATACAATAATCATCGCCGAACATTACGCGAAAAATGTTTACCGAAGAAAAAACACCGTACCGTTTATGAAACGTATCCTGTATATAAAAATGTACCCGTTTATAGATATGAAAAATATCCTGTTGAAGTTCCGGTCAAAGTTCCTGTGTATATATCGATGAAAAAACCATATGAACCTAGTAGATCACGACGATATGGCCAAAATGACCATTATGATCATGAATATCACGGTGGCGATATGATTCGCGGTAACTATGGACGACGATTTGGTCAATTAGGTTTTGGTGAACAATTTCCTAGCGGTCGTTATCGTTTCAATTCAAATCAATATGATGATTCTGATTATCGAAAAAAAGCTTGATTGTCTATAATTTACATTTGTGTGTGTGTAATGTAAAAAAGTATTAAAAACAAAACTGCCATTTTTCATTATTTTGAAATAAAAAACTTCCATATATTTTCTCCCTCTGATGATGATGATGATGATGAATCCTGATCGGTTGATTGTTTGTCCAATAATTATGGGTTTTTGGTGGAACTCGACAAATCAAAAATTTTTTCCTTCATGAATGGACTGTATTAGTCTGGTGTATAGTTTACCTGAATAGGTTATTTTTGTTTCTCTTTTTACCATGACATTTTATTATCCAGTTGTGCATGAAAAAAAATGTCATACTTTTACGTGAAACATGAATAATCAAACTAGAGTTATTTATCAGTGATAATTATTGGGAAAAATTACCTCATATTGCTCAAGGTTTATCAATTTTAGAAATAATTTTTTTTCTGTCTGACGATGAAAAACCACACAACCAAACAAACTTGTTCAAAGACAACAACAACAAAATCTGTTGGAAAAATGTCAGACAATTTTATAAATTTTCGAAAATTTATTCTTTGGTCACTTTTTGCATTAGTGATGATTGTATCGATTCAATCCGATGACAACAACATTCATCTGAATGATTCGAGTTTTGTTTGCGAAACCGACGATGATGAAAAAGTCTCTGAGAACAAAATTCTTGTACCAGTCGTGAAACGTGTGCCTGAAATACGTGTCATTCGAATTGCGTATCCGGTTCCGATTCGCATCCCTGTTTATATACCAATCGATGAAAAACATACACAACGAGCATATTATGAAGGTAAACAGCCATATAATGATGTTCAAGAGAATGGCAATTTCCCGAAAAAGAAACAAAAACATTAATTTGATTTTAACACATTTTAATGAACAAAATTTTAAATTTCCAAATAGAGAAAAAAAGTAAAAATCAAACAATTTTGTCTTTAAATTGATTCGTGTGTTTTCGTGTGTGTGTTTTAAATCGTGCGTGGCGTAACGTGAATTGTTCGTTAAGGCGAAAATTGAGAATGAGAGAGGCAAATTTTTTTTTGCAAGAATATTCTAACGAGTGAGAAGGAAAAAGTTATTTATTTACAATGAGATGTTATGTTTATCGTCTAAGAATTTTTGTTTTGTTTTTTTTGAAAAATCCTACATCAATATCAACAACAACGACAACATTGATACCATTAAAATGGTTGAAATATTTGAACGATAATCAACGATTCCATTACGTCGATTACTAAACCAAGATCTTGAACCAGTGGATCGTCCAACACTGCCACCACCACCACCACCACGTCCACCACCAGCACGTCCAACACGCATTGAATAATGGATACGACGATCGGTTGCCACACATTTTCGTAATATAGGTATCCACAGGTAACCACCATCCATTTGATCACATTGTTCATGATCCGGTTCTTGAATATTCCATTCATTAATACATTCTTGTTTCTGTTGATCAACTGTCATCAATAATCGTAGATTTCGATTTCCGTTATTTTTCTTGCAATTTTTTTTTCATTCATTATCACACATACCTTTATATCCAAATGCACATGAACAATGCCATTGGTCATCATCCACATTAAGTGATTGTTTCCGTTTTTGTTGTTGTTGTTGTTGTGGCCGATAACAACCGGAACCAGTAATCATTGAATAACATTGTGCACTATGTTGACATTTTTGTCCAAGTTTTTTCGTGGCAGACATTGATAGATATCAATACGTTTATGTTGATAATGTCTTTGTTTTTTACTTTCGTTGTCGTTGTTATTATTATCGCTATCATGGTCATCACCATAGATTTTATCGTCATCCAATAAATTTGAACAAATGCATAGCTGTGATTCTGGATCACAAGTAGCTTGCAATGGATGACAACCATTATTTTCTGGATATACGGTAATATTGCAACCATACATTGATGATAAGGACGACAACGACGATGATGGCGATGGAGATGGTTTGATTGGATATGCTTGGACTTGTATGCATGATTTCGATATAAATGATGATAATATGGAGGTTGATGTTGATGATGATGGCCATGGCCATAATAGCCAACTACCGCAAAACAATACAGACAGCGCTATCAATTGTATTTGTTTATCAATTGTTGATATTCTGTTCGTTCTCATTTGTGATTGTAGCGACGTACGACAATGTTTTCCATAATGGTGGTCATTATTCATTATTGATTTTGATGTGGTCAACGATTTTTTCATTGGAAAATGTAAGGAATTTTTAAAAATTTTCATATTGAAAAATCGTTGATGAGGATGGCAATTTCAAAAAAATGATACACGAAAAAAATGAATTTATAATTGAAATAGCCGAATTATTCCGTGTGTTTAACACGATTGAATGCCAATCATAAAATGGACGGCGACGACGACGACGATGATGATGATGATGAGCCTGAATTTTTTTTTCACTAGTTGTTTCAATGGTTCAGAAATTGAAATATCAAATGAGCACAAAAGTGGTTCCAAAAGTGGTCATTTTGTGGACAATAAATCCCATTTTGGATTTTATTCATTTTACAGTCAGTGGTCCGTTGTATGTCGATTTTAAATGCTTCTCTCACTCTCTCTCGTATTAGAATTGATTTAGAATTTCATCTTCTCAACTTAACTGGCTAAAAAGTCAATATATAATTTTTACTGTCATTCGTTCCTATGGGTGTGTTTCGGTGTGTGTGTGTGTGTGCGTGCGTTTGTGTCTGTGGTTCGTCATTTTCATTTGTATATGGTCTCTAAAGGTTATCCGCTTTCGAATTCTATTCCATTTTTTTTATTATTATTATTCATCATCACGATGACCATTACATTGACCAAATGATAATGCGCATATTTTTTTTGTACAATTTAGACTTGGCTTCCGTTATAAAGCAATACAAGCATAGAATGAGATGAAGGTATTTTTTTTTTTATTTCTGGTGAATTAACCCAAAAAAACTATTTTCTAAATAACGACAATTAGAATTGTTGTCGTGTTTTTAGAGCCTGTAAAAAAAACAGAAATGATTAACATTTTAGGATTCCACTTTTGTGTGTGTGTGTGTGTGTGTTTGGTCATATAGGATGATTATTTTGTGTTAATGAAATAACAACAACAATGGTTACCATTGCAACCTTTTTTTCCTTTTCTTTCTTTGCCATGAAGATATACAGGTATTTTATCATTATTTCCTGCTGATTTGTTTAAACACTTTGTTTGATCCATGGAACAACAACAACAACAACAACAAAAATAATCCAACAAAACCAAAAAAATGAAAAGCACTGATTTTGCAAAAGTTAAAAAAATCTCATGCTGCATATTCTGTAGATTCTATCGTTTGTCATTCTCAAAAAAAAAATCGACTTGACAACAACAACAACAACAACTGTTCTTATTATACAAAAAAAGTTTCACGATGACAATGAGAAAGTGAGAGAGAGAGAGAGACGGAAAAAAAATCAAAACCATTATTTTATCTCGGAAATGGGACCATTATTCTATGTGTGTATTCACATTTTGGCTGACTAACTGACCACACTCTGTACATACACGACACAACAATCATTACACACACACAAAGATTTTTTTATTGTAATCACAAAAAAACGCCAAAAACAAACTCTTATTAATGGTCAAACGTTGTTGTTGTTGTTGTTGTTGTTCATTATTATTATTATTATCCATCCATCTAGACTTGTAGTATTCATCGAGTAAAATATTAAAAAAAAAGTTATCATCATCATCATCATCCGAATAATAATCATTATAATAATCATCGACTCATGAAATATATACGTCCACATATGGATGATGATGATGATGATTGCAAAAATATCCAATTTCCATAATAAAGAATATTCATATGTATATTCTGGTTGGTTGGCTTCCATCGAAAACAATGGGAAAAAAATAACTATAGGGTTTGAATGTTTCACCAATTTCAAATGTGTGTTTGTGTGTGTGTATGGTTCGATTGGTCTGGCTGAATGTGAATGGGAGGACTATTGTTTCTCAAATCTGATATTTTGTATCAGGTTCTGGTATTTTGCGCCAAAAATGTCATATTTATCGTTATTCTTTGGTTGATTGCATTTTTGGACAATAACAATTAAAAGAATTGGCTATGCAATGAATTTTTGTTTTTGTTTTGATTATGAAAAAATTGAAAAAGAAACACCACTCTTTTTGATTTAACCAAAAAATTTCTAATTAACCTTTGACATTTTTTTTCCTGCAACACACACAAGAACTTTTGACTTTTAGATTTTTTTTTTTTTGTTTAATCATTAAACCTTTTATTGTTTGAAAAACAATGATCGTTGTTTTGATATGAATCAATCAAATCAATTCATGAATGAATGATTTTAATGATGAAAAAAATTTTGCCAAAATAGATGACAATTTCAGTCACTAGATGTCACTATTTTACTATCGAAAATCGAACACACGTATTTTTTTATACTTGTGGACAAATTTCGAATTTCGAGAATCATCAAGTTTTTTTGGCAATGATTTTTTTTTTGTTGCTGTTGACATAAATGAAAATTCTGATCCTTTTGTTATTTCTGTGGATAAACAAAACAAAAAAAAAAGAAATCGTCATTTTCTATTTATAGTTTTTTTTCCACAAACACAAACACCCAATATTATTTGTTCAAAGTTTGTGAAAGCGGCCGAATGAAATGATGATGAAAATCCTCTTAAACCAAAACGAACAAACAAAATAAAAAAATATCCGTTTTAATGAGCAAACCGGAATCGGATAATTCATTCATTCAATCGGGTAGTAATACAATATGGACGACCTGCTTCTCGATATGAAGAAAAAAATAGAAAAGAATCGGCTTATCATTTTTTTCCTATTCTCAAGTGTGTTCGTTTGTGTATTTTAACGTTTTCAATTGATTATTGCTCGGATAAAGAGACGCCAACCAAACAAAAAATCAAACATAACACAGAAGACCCAGAAGCAAATATTTTTTTTTTTTTAAAATAATCCAATTTCTATATTTAGATAGAAACCAACCAACCAACCAACCAACACACACATCAAGATTTCAATTCTCGATTCTCAGTTTTGTGGTTGTTGTTGTTGTTGTTGTCGTAGAGTGGATTTGGATGATGATGCAAGGCCATTCATTTTTTCAGGAATCTCAAGTGTTTTTTTTGTGCATCATTGCGATGTTTACATCAGTTAGAATGATTCAAATGTGTGTGTGTGCGTGTGTTTGTGTTTCCGGTGTTTATTTCGGGTAGACATTCATGCATACCATACATTCATCTATCTATCCAATTAAAATATTATCACTCGCTTTATGAATTTTTTTTAGTGGAAAAATTCCATTCTTCGCTTTTCCTATTAAAGGAGGAAGAATATTCTTTTTTTTCTCTATTTGGAAAAATGAATGAAGCGGCAGCAGTAGCAGCAACAACAAAGGCATGCAAAGAATTTGCATTTCATCGAAAATAATGATTCCGGACAATGAAATAATCTTTTGAAATATTCACGGCCTTTTATATACGGTAATTGATTTGATGGAATGTCATGGATAAAAGAATGAATCTGAGAATTTTTTTTTTTTTTTTTTTTTGATAGAAAAATTATTCATTTTATTACAACAATGATGATTTATTTTACATTTATATTCTGATTACGTGGAACTGGAACTTAGAATTCAAATCTTCTATATAGATGATCTGGAGAATTTTGTGGCCGATATTCAGGCAATGGCCATTGCATCAATAGACTACTGGTTAACCCTGTTGTTATTTCTGGTTTTTGATTTTCTATGGTTTGACCGTCCACGATTACTGTGTCTGTCACAGGTATTATTGTCGTCGGTGATAATGGAAGCTCTTTAACTAATTGTTTAACCATCAATAATTGATCATGATTTGGTCCAATATGTTTACGATCACAATATTGACATGATGAACACGTCGAGGATGGTGCAAATGTTTCCAGGCACTTTGGTGTTATATCATGAATATGTAGCTTCTCACATGTGGCCACACGACAATAATTGGATGGTGATGGTGTTTTTGTCTGCAATTTTCCTCTGGGATTTTCTTCCGGCATACATGCCGGTGTATTTGGCTGTGATCGAAAATTATTGCCAGCACCACAGGTGAATAAATTCATTGCACTTTTCGATGACGACGATACAATTTGTTTCATTCGATCATTTGTAGTGGACAATTGCCACAATGATGAATATCGATTATTAGTCATCATTGATTCTATCACTGATTTTCTATGACAATTTGGACATTTTATAAGTAATAAATTTTCACAATTTGTATCATCATTGTAACCACCATTGTTATTATTATTCATGGTAAATATTATCGTTTTCGATGATAAATTATCAATATTTTGATTATTATTATCGATAATCATTTGATTTATCAACAATGAATGTTTTCGTTTATCGTTAGCTTTCGATTTAGTTGTATTTCGATTCACGATTTTTCTATAAAATGTTTTACATTTTATCCAAGGCAGTTTGATTATCGTGAATAGATATTTGCCACAATAACAATTCGATGCTGGTTCATTCGATTCGTCAAGTTTTGACATTTTTGAATCAAATCCTGTATTCACAAACATAATGGAAACGAGAATTGAAATATTTGAATTTAAACATATGAAATATTTCTCAAATGGAATAATGCCAAAACATGATACCGTTTGATGTTGACACAATGACAAATTGATATTCTAGGTTTTTTTCATTTATTCGAAAATTATTCCGGTAATGTCATTGTCATTGTTGTTGTTGTTGTTGTCATATGAATACACACACACACACTTGGTGACCGACAATGACGACGAATTCGATTCGTCTCTAATAAGCAAAACGGGACACATGTACACCTGATCAAAATATAGCGAATAATGAAGAATGTTAGGTAAAAACCATGGCTGATTAAAAAAAATGATAATGATGACTCATCAGTGATCGTTTTCGTTGTTGTTGTTGGTTGGTACCATCATCATCATCATCATCTTCTCTCTCTACCTTGGCAATGATAATAATTTATAATTTTTTATTTTGGGCGTTGCAGTTATCCACGATATTAGGCTGATTTTTCATGGTTTCATGGCGAGATTTTTTTTTGGCGAAAACAACAGAAGAATGGAGTTGAATAATTTAAAGTTCTGTTGATCACAAGCGGAATTTAACATAAACAAAATCGAAAAAACATTCCAAGCTCTCATTCATCGATCACCACGATTTTGAAATAGATATATCTGTCGTTGTCGTTTTCTGGTTCCGTCAAATATTTTTGTTTGATTCGATTAAGTTTGGTGTGTGTGTGTGTGCCAATCAATGGACTCTAACAAAAAAAAATAATTGACAAGAACTTGAGAAGCGACGAGTGAAAATGCCATGAGCGAATCTAATCAAATCGGAAAAAAATCGAGAAATGCTGATAACGAATTTGCCTTTTTTTCTGGTTTCATATATCGTCGATTCGAATAGAAAGCAAAATTAGACGACAAATCTTCAAGGCGTATTCTATTGGCCTCGAATTTGCGCACTGAATGTTTTAGGTTTGAATTTTTTTCCACTCTCTCAATAACATTTTGGTGTAGCGTTTTTTTTTCTTTGCTTTGCTTTTGATTTTTCAGTTTCCCAATAATGACGCCTTGGCATTTAGTCAACAATATGTGTGTGTGTGTGTGTAATTTACATAAATTGTCCATTATTATTGATACTTACAGAATCGGTATCTGTACATTCTAGAAAAAAGGATCGCTATCCATTAACCACCCGAAAAAAATTTTCATTTTTGAATCATTATAATTCGATTAGATAGATTTTTTTTGCTTTCTTTCCATTTCTTTTTTTTTGGCCCCAGCCTTACATTTTCATTTTTTTACGATAAAATAATAATTTTTTTGCGGAAATTCTGTTTTCTTTGCTTCAAATTTATATAGAACCTATACACACGCATGTAAAACGGTAGCTAACTGCGTGTGTGTGTGCGTGTGTGACGCAAATGGTGACGACAAATTTTATTCTCTGGAACATGGAAAAAATTTTTATTTGCCTTTTTTTGTGTTTTTGATTGCTATTTTTATTCACGGGAAAAATGAGACACACAAAAATGTTTTTTTTTTATTTAAATAAAAACTCTGAATTTTTTTTCCAGAAATGATGTCCTCTAGGCTATTTGATGATTCCTATCCATTATGATCACGAATTTGAGTGTTTTCGGGGTTTTTTTGTCATTTTTCAAAAAAGAATTAGTTTAGAATTAATTTTTTTAAAAAAGAAAACTTGTCAATAAATAAATAGTTGTCTTCAATATGGATTTGGATGGTGAGATATCGTAACGTGTTTACAACCGACAAACAACTACTTTTTTTTGCAATGAAAAATACAACAGAAAAAAAAGAATTGGATTTTATTACTCATACACTGATCTAAAATGAAAAGATATCTGTCTGATATATCCGATTATTGTTTTTATTTTTGTTTTTTGTTTTTTTTTATTGTTGTTGATTAGAGGATGTGTGGAAGAATTATTTAGTTTGATTGACAAATATTTTGTTGCCATCAACATCATCATCATGATGATCATCATAACCAACAACAAAATACCGTGGCTAATTATGATGTTTATGACAATGATGATGATGATTGAATCGGGTGTCATTAGTGATGATAAACACATACATAGATATAGGCTATGCAATAATTTGAGCTTAATGATGGCGATGATGATGGTTCTAAAATGTCAGCAACAAAAAAAAATTGTAATTGATAGAAAATTATTTGAATAAACTGTTTCTTTTTTATTACAAAGTCAATCATCATCATCATCATCATTTCTACAAAGTCAAATTGAACGAAAAAAAACGCCTATTCAATATTGAAGAAAACGCGTGTGTGTGTGAGTGTATAAGTGTGTGTTCTATATTTACCTGATTTCTTCAATCAATCAATCAAACATTTGTTATCTAGTGAACATGACCAAACCGGAGGATTATTATTCATGGTTCCGTTCGGAACAAATGTCTCTGTGTCAATTATATTTACAATCCGATTCGGTTTATCATATCGTTGCATTATTAGGTGAAAAAGGAATCTGTCAATTTCGTGATCTAAATCAATCAAGTAATTCTTTTCAACGGAAATATGTTGCAGAAATTCGACGTTGTGCTGAAATGGAACGAAAAATTGGTTTGTGTTTCTTCTAATGTTAATGTTAATGTTTACGTTCGTTTTTTTTCTAATTTATTCAAAAGTTTTCTTTGAAAAAGAAATGGAACGAGATGGTGTTTCGGATGTTAAAAAATTTGATCATCACGATGATGATCGACAACAACAGCAGCAACCGATTGATATACCATCTATGAAAGATTTGAGTCAACTTGAACAACGTCTAGAAAAATTGGAACATGATTTATTGAATGAGAATAAAACACAATTACAGATGAAACATCGATTACTTTCATTGACAGAATACAAAGAAATTCTTCGAAAAGCTGATCAATTTTTCAATGAAGCACAATCTGATGGACCATCGGCGAATAAATCAATGTTACGACGAATGTCAGTGGTCGATCCAGATTTGATGCGTCGATTTTCGATGCATATGCATCAACCAAATCAACCCAATCAACTGAATCAAATACCATTGGAACCGGTGATTGAATTAGCGACAATGACTGGTAGTATTCTTGCAAGTCGTTTCATGTCATTCGAACGAATGTTGTGGCGTGTTTCACGTGGTAATATTCTCCTGAAACGTATCGATGTTGACGAATTACTTGAAGATCCTGAAACCGGGGAATTGCAACACAAATGTCTTTTCATTCTGGTATGTCAAGGAGAAAAATTACGTAATACTTGCCAGAAAATATGCACCGGATTTCATGCTAAATTATATTCATGTCCAGAACAACGTGATGAACGAAATAGTGCTCATCAAAGAGTATTGCATGATATTTGCGATATTCAAAATGTAATTGCACGCACTAATGATCATCGTAAAAATTTATTGGTTGCAATCGCTACTAATCTGCAGAAATGGAAAACAACAATTATTAAAGTGAAAAATACCTATGAAACAATGAACCTGTTCAGCAATGATGTTACTGGACATTGTTTGATTGCTGAATGTTGGATACCATCCAATCAGATTGCTGAAGCTCGTTCGATTCTTGTACAAGGACAAATGATGTCCAATTCATTGGGTCCATCAATTTTGGATCACATACCAACTATAGAAACACCGCCAACTTATAATGTTAGCAATAAATTTACAGCCGGTTTTCAGGCATTGGTCGATTCATATGGTTCATGTACATATGGTGAAGTTAATCCGGCACCGTATGCAATTATTTCATTTCCATTCATTTTTGCCGTAATGTTTGGTGATACTGGACATGGTATTATTATGGCTTTATTTGCCTTGTGGATGATAATCAAAGAAAAACAATTGAAATCTGTGAGAAATGAAATATTTTCCATGTTTTTTGCTGGTCGTTATACAATATTATTGATGGGATTATTCTCCATCTATACCGGTGCCATGTATAATGATATCTTCTCTAAATCCGTAAATCTATTTGGCACTGCATTTCATCGTGATTTGGATAAATTTGAAGAACTTTCTAATGTGACTTCAGCGTCTGGTCATCATCTCTTGCATCTGGTGCCTGATAAACATTTGGATCAAGATTTTCGTTATTACTTTGGTATGGATCCAGTATGGCAAATTGCATCGAATAAAGTACAATATACAAATACGTATAAAATGAAACTTTCCGTAATATTGGGTGTTTTACAAATGTTTTTCGGTGTAATCCTGTCGGTATTTAATCATTGTCATTATAGTGAATGGATTAGTGTTTGGGTAGAATTCATTCCACAACTTGTATTCTTATTGGCAATATTTGGTTATATGAATTTTATGATTTTCTTCAAATGGTTCGCATATGATTCAACGCGTGCTGGTTGTGCGCCTTCCATTCTCATCACATTGATTAATATGTTTATGTTTAAAATGCCTGATGAAAAAGATCCTTGCTATTTGAAAGATGAAATGTTCCCAGGACAATTTACTATTCAAAGTATATTTATCATTCTAGCACTTCTCAGTGTTCCAATCATGTTACTTATTAAACCACTCTATTTACTTTGTCGACATCACGGTGCTCAAAAAAGGTGAGAAATGATTTTTACCAATTAATAATTAATTAATAGTTTACACGCTTTTTTAGTACAATAATTTATGATCAAAATTCATTTGAAATGGAAAATTCATCGCATTCAAATCAAAATTTGGAAGCAGGAAATGTACAACAACAACAACAACAAGAAATGGTATCGAATTCGAATGGAAATCATATCATCACCGTAGAAGACAATACGTCGCAACGAAGCGAACATGAAGTTAAACATGTTGAACACGATGGAAACAATCAAGGACATGCAGCAAATGCAACTGATGAATTCAGTTTTGGCGATGTTTTCATCAATCAGACCATACATACGATTGAATATTGTTTAGGATCCGTATCACATACAGCATCATATCTTCGACTTTGGGCATTAAGTTTAGCCCATGCTGAGCTTAGTGAAGTCTTGTGGAATATGGTTATGATACAGGGTTTTATGGAATTTAAATTCCAATATGGCTATTTAGCAGGTGCAGTTGTCATGTTTTTTGTTTTTGCTTTTTGGGCTATACTCACTGTTGTCATTTTAATTGTAATGGAAGGATTATCGGCATTCTTACATGCATTACGTTTACATTGGGTGGAATTTATGTCAAAATTTTATCATGGAGCTGGCTATCCATTTGAACCGTTTGATTTTCGAACGAAACTTGATGAATTATAATTGAAAATTTAAAAAAAAAATTTTTAGAAACAAATTGATAAACTTTAATCAAGATTTTTTCACAGAAAAAAAACAAAGTTCACTAAATAACATTTTTGACTACATCATTTTTTCAATCCTCACGTAATGCTTGATCAAATTCTTTTAGGCTTTTCGATTCGACAATTTTCGTTACATCACGACCCGATTCGTCACGACGAAGTGCCTGGCCTTGATGATAAATATCATCAAAATTGGCATTGATTTGAGGACCTTGGCGTTTAAGTTCACCAAAATCTTTGAAATGATCCATTTTAAAATTTGCCATTAGTTCCATATCATAAAGTTGTTTTTGAAAGTCAAACATTTCTTCTCGTTCAGGTGTATCTTTTCGATTCATTGAACTATAGATAAATTGACCAGGTATTCGTTTATTATTCATATGACGCCAATAAGCCCATGCAGTTATTGATGAAATAAACAGAAATGAAACACCAGCAATTGTCAGACATATTTGATTGTGTTCTTTGAGTGCATCTATAGTTTGGTTTTGGACGAAAAAATTATTGATTGAAATTCTTCAAGTTTAAAAAAAACAAATACTAACCAGTTCCACGAATCATCCAGAAAAGCGGTCGTCGTTTATATGTTTCGGAAAATTTTCCTACTAATTTTGGTGGTATTTTTCGTTCATCTTTTGTAAATTGTTCATAATTGAAAAAATTCCTTCGAAATCGAACGGATGTATGGATTTGCGACGAATTATTGGATGATGAAATTATCAAATGAAATAATGAACCTCTTCTGGTTATAAATGAAGTGCCAAACATCATAATTCATTGATCAATCAATCGATAATTTATAAACAAAAATTTCAATATCTGATCTTAGATTCAGCTGAAAAAATACATCTTTGATGCCGACGATGATGTTTTTGATCCTAAATGATAGATAGCAGCACACAAAAACATTCGAGGATCGTCAAGACTCAATCCTCATTGTCTTTTGTTTGATGATGATTATTTTTGTAGCTTTATTATTATTCAATTGAATTTCATTCTTTCAACGATAATCCGCGTAAAGAATTTAACAATTAATCAGATCAATTCTATTCTATTGAATTAAATCTACCATCATCATCCGTAGTTATTTTTTATTGCTCATTACCTCAATATTGTTGTTGTTTTGAAGGCGAATATTTCTTTCACATCCATTATTGCTTATTCGCATCGATATTTTTTTTTTGCTCTTTTCTAACAATAATTTAATTGAATTTTTTTTTATTAAAAAAATGATGCAACAATCATTACAGAGACGTGCTACCCATGCTGGTAGTTGGTATTCATCATCTGGTATATTTATAATTTATTCAATTTAATTGATTAGAATTTAACATTGAATTTTATTTCAGTGATACAACTCAATAGCCAGCTTGAATCATGGTTATCTATGGTCGATGTTTCACATGGTCCAGCTAAAGCAATCATTTCACCGTAAGTAATAATGATGTTAATTGTATCTATCCATCTATTTATCTGTTCATCTCCAAAATGTACAGTCATGCTGGATATCAATATTGTGGTGCCTGTGCCGCTTATGCCTATAAACAAATTGATCCACAATCGACGTAAGTTTGGCCACAATGCAATTTAATTAGTTTATCTGAATCCTGGTTTTTTTCTGTTTTGTATTGTGATTGTAGTGAACGAATTTTCATTCTAGGTCCATCACATCATATACGTTTGAATGGATGTGCATTATCACCAACTACCGTTTACAAAACACCATTCTATGATTTGATTATCGATCGTGATGGTAAATTAATTTCTAAATTGTGTGATTTAAAATTGTTTTGATAATTTATCATTTCAGTTTACGATGAGCTTAATCAAACTTCGTATTTTCAATCAATGTCATTGGCAGCGGATGAAGATGAACATTCGATAGAAATGCAATTACCATTTATTGCTAAAATAATGGAATCAAAAGGACAGCAGACAGGTGGTGGATTTAAAATTGTACCTATATTAGTTGGTTCACTATCGAATGAAAAAGAATATTTGTATGGACAAATTCTTAGTAAATATTTGCTAGAACCTGGAAATGTTTTTGTGATATCATCAGATTTTTGTCATTGGGGTCAACGTTTTAGTTTCCAATATTATAATAAAGGATGGGGTGATATTTATCAATCTATACAAAAATTAGATGAAATGGTAATCATTTGGTTGTCTTTATTTTATCACTTATGATTTGTTTGTTTTTTTTCTTTCTTTCTCTTAGGGTATGAATCTGATTGAATCATTAGATCCATTAGCATTTGCTGAATATTTGCAACAATATCGTAATACAATTTGTGGTCGACATCCAATTGCTGTATTGTTGAATGTAAGTTTTTTATATGGATTGCAAAAAAAAAGACAACAACAATCTGAAATCATATCATCCATCATCATAGGCCATTCATCATCTTCGTACCGAAGGTAAATTGATGAATAATACATCAATGCGTTTCCTTAAATATGCTCAATCAAGCCAATGTCTTCGTATGCGTGATTCATCCGTTAGTTATGCTGCTGCTGCATTTAAATTATGATATGTGTGTGAATCACATCATCAACATGCATTAAATTAGCCACATGAAAGAAAAATTTCAATTTTTTCCACTATTATGCTGCGGCAATTATCATGACAAATTACAACCATTGCCTTCCCAATTGATCATCATCGTCATCGTCAATTTGGATTTCTTCCACTCTAAAGATTCGATCGGAATTTCTTTTTTTGCTTCAAATTCTCTTGTTTTTTGAAACAAACAAACGCGCAGTACAAAACCGAATCAATCAACCACATATACAATAAACAATAGGAGCCAATTTTTTTTCATCAAATAAAAACCATTTTATTTTATAAAAATTTTTAAAAACTATAAACGAAAACAAACAACAGTTTGGCAGCAGAAATATGTTCTATGTTTGATCCATTGAATTTGTTGAATTCATTTTCATTTGATCATGATGATGATGATGAATCTCATGTTTGACCAAATGAATTTGTTGTCTAATCAAATCGATATCATTGGATAATTGTTGATTTATCTGGTCTATATGATCAATAGATGATTCAACCATTGATAATGATTGTAATGTTTCCCATAATAAACGTTGTCGTTGTGTTTGTTGGATTTGATTCCAACATAACCATAATATTGTTGCAGTGATTATTGTCGTTATAAAAATCAATAATAATCGATGCAATGATGATTTCCACCACCAAATAAATTGTCTACTTTTTACCGATGACGGTGATAATGATGATGAGGGGATAATTAGTTTGTACGATGATGATGATGATGATGAAGATGATAATGATTTACGTGGATCAAAATCGTAGTCAATTGTTCTTATCATCTTGGTGTTGAAAATAATTAAGACGATGGTTTTATGACTTAGATATTATAGATGCACGATATAATCGATAAAATGGTCATAAATTTTTTTTATTTTATCACATTTTTTTAAAAAACAATCAACCGACAAATCATCTGATAATCGATGATAGATTTGTTTTCTTGGTTATTTGGTATATTTTAGTGCTTTCAAAAAAAGGTGGATGCCACACAACATAAACGATGTTATTAAATACAAAGAAAAAAAGAATAACAATTTCTAATAGACCATTAATCACGTGATTCATAATGTTGAATTGTTTACACTGCAAAAAAGACCCGCCCCAATTTTTTTCAATAGCTACTAAAATGTTTTATTTAAAATGGAATTGTTTTTTAATTGTTGTTGTTGTTGTTGTTTGGTGGTAAGTGACAAAACTTTACTAAGTTGTGGTTTTCTTTTTTGTAAATTTTTTGTAAACTGTTGAAAAACGTCCATTAATTGTCTTGTCGTTTTTTTGTTAATCTTTAATGACTGTAGAATTTTCGATTCAGTTGGTAAGGTGATTGTTGTGATTGTTGGTATCGTACTATTGGTGGTTTTTAGCGTATCCATACTTTTATTTTTCTTCGACGTTATCTTCGACGATATTCGACGAATCAATGGTGGTGGTGATGTTGTTACATTTATTACTGTGGATTTTCTACATTTTTTACAACATAACATAGCTACACAACAAAATGTAGTGATTGTACAATATAAAATCAAAACAGTCAGAATGATAGTGGCTGCAACAACGATAGCAATCAATGATGACCAAAGTTTTGCACATTCAATCGAATGATCTTCATAACCAGTACAATTGATTGTTTTACCAAAAAAATTTACCGATTTAAACGGATCAAGGCTTGTTTCAAAAATAGGTTTCACTACTTGTTGTTCTTTTGGACAAATCATCGGTACCTGTGAAACCATATAGGAACGAAATTTCCACATACCACAACAAGTGATCCAATCATTTTGATAATTTTCAATTTTTTTTGCCATTATTCTCAATCCACATTGTACGGCACTCAATTTATTCGTTACTTCATCTACAAATGACATGTTCAAAGGAATCAACGAAAAAAAAATGCCAAAAAGCTTTCAATCAATGATTTTTATGTATTATTTGTATTTATTTATACTCAACAAAGTGAACAAAATTAAATTAAAAATTAAAAAAAATTTGAAATTTTCGAATGTGAAATTTTTTTTTTCAATTCGCTAATGCCATCTAGTGATTAGGCAAAGAAAACGAACAAAACAAACAAACTTTTTTTCAGGCATCAATATCGAAAGTAACAAAAAAAATGTCAAATCTTTCACTCGCGATCACAACAACAACAACAACAACAAGAAGAACAAAACTCATTATTTCAACCCTTGATGCATGACGGTGGCCGTCATGACAGCATCGCCAACTACTGCTACTACTACTACTCAATGAATAATAAGAACTTTATTTATTTTGTTTTGCCAAGAAGAAAAAATCATGGTTACATCTGATGATGATGACAAAACCAATGATTGTGTTTTGTCGAAGAAAATACATTCGTGGCAAACAAAATGAATAACCGGCGTTACCATCATCATCATCCCATACAATGATTTTGTTTTGTTTTTGTTTTGTTTTTTAATGATGTGATGTGACCCAGAATTCATCAAAATAATCAATGCCAACAGTAACAAATTAACCAAAGGTATGTGAAAATTAACCCATTATTAAATGCCATATTGTTTTTCATTACCATTGTTTTTTTTTCTTCATCTATAGCTATTTTTATTGAAAAAAAGCCAAAGCCAATTCTAGAAGCTTTAAAATCAAATGTATCAACTGCGTGTGTACTTGTATCAGCAGCAGCAATAGCAGATAAAACGAAAAGAACATTTTTAGCCAAAAAAATTAATTTTTAACATTTTTCGTCGTTTGATTCAACTGAATTGATTGAACTTTGGCAATTATTGTTCGGACTTGTTGTTTCATTCAGAATTCATTCGTATTCATATTTTTAATCTAATCGTAAACTCGTGAAGATAAAAAAAATTTTAATGATTTGATATACGCTCTTACATAAATATACAAAAAAAATGTAATTTTTTTTCATCGTCGGGTCTATTGCACCACCATTTTCATCAGAGAAAAAAGAGAGATCATTGATCACCAACTAATCGAATCGATTTTGAATCACAAACACTTTGGTGGGTAAGTAAATTTTTTTTTCTTACAAATCCATTTGTTTTCCGTTTTGATTTGTGTATTTCAAAAATTCATCATTTATGTGTGATTTTATCCATAAACAAAATCAATTTCCCATATTCATTTCTTAAGGAGAAAAATATGATAATCCTGATTAGATAGTTGATCAATGTTGTTGTTGTTGTTGTCTGGACAAACAACAAAAACAACATGTGATTGATTTGATTTTTTTTTATACAAATCAAACAAAAAAAGAAAACTTTGTGCCCACTTCTTTTTTCAATTTACCAATTTTTTTTTGATGATTATTATGGTTTCTCATAGTTGATACTAACGGTTTTCAATGATCATGAAACTGGACCTACCAACCATTCAACCATTTGTCTCTATATAAGATAATACTTTATAATTATGTTTCTTGATTGATTGCTCGATCGATCGATTGATTGACGTGTGTGCGTATGTGATGTACATCATGATGATGTTATATATGTTTAATTATCACATTCATTGATAATATTTAATAGCTGTCATTGTATCGAATCTTTACGCATTAGTTCCTATATCGGACAAATGTCTTAATTTTAATCAGCAGCAGCATCGATTCCCCACCCATATAGATATTTATTTATTAGGGAAATGATTTTTTTCTTTCGTTTTCTGGTTTTTTTTTGTTTTTTTCATTTGATGATCGTACGATGATGTTGATGATTGTTTTTTTTTCCATTTTTTTCTCTTGTTTTTTTTACAGCTATTTCCAATTAATAAAGTAGCTATTTAGTAGTGTTTTTTTGAACTGTTAAATTATCATCATCATTACCAACATCAGAAAAAAATCTATTTGACCATGAGTTTAACTACACAGGATATAAATTACCATCGTGTGATGAATACTACTGCTACAGCAGCAGCATCAGCACCACCACCACCACCCCCGCCAGTAACAACAACAGCCTCGGCTTCACCTTCTTTATTTAGCCCTTCCACTTTAACTAATGACAATTATTCAACAAAAAAAATTCAATCAAAATCAAACCTCATTTCCATCAACACCCCTACTGCTACAGTCAATGTTGAAAATGATGGTCGAAAACAAGATCAAGATAGCCACAAACACAACCACCACCACCTTGAAACTATTGTTAGTAATACAATGATAAATGATTGTAAAAATGATAATGGTTGTGGTGGTAGACGACCATTGTCGTCCACATCGATAATGCCAAATGTACCGGATCCATCTGCTGGACTATCTACAAAATTGTCGCCAAAACAGCAACCAAAAATGATGCATAAAACAATGAAACAAAAAAAACAACAACAGGCAAATGATTCAGTTTTTATTGTTGATAATGATAATCAACAACATTCACAACAAGAAAAATTATCGATTAGTTGTAGTATTGTTAATCCGATTGTAACAACGGTGGTTTCATCGTCATCATTATCATCGGCAACGACAACAACTACAGCTAATGATCGCCAAACGTCGACATACTTATATGATAAATCCAATTTCAATCATTTCCAGATTAATCAATCACAATCATCGCAATCATCGGCTGAAATAGTAGGCCAATATAAAAATCAAATAAAAAACGATCAGCAAAAAACATTGTCGAGTTTAGACAATCAACAATCGAACTGCATTACAGTCAATTCAAAAATCGATGATCAACAATCGAATGAACAATCATTATTACCGGTTGTAGTTACCACCACCACCACCACCACCACCAACAACAACAGTAGAAAATCGGTTATAATCGGTAATACAACAATCAATGGGGAAGGTGATATTTTTATTTTAATTTTCAATTTTTTTGCTAGGCTCATCGAATCAATTGACAATGTCGCAAAAGAAAGCATCATCATCATCATTATCGTCAGCGGCCAGTTCATCGGCTACATTCACATCATCATCAGCAACTGGTGGTGATTGTCTGAATAACAGTAGTTCTATGGATGATGATTTGAATCAATCATCGGAAAAACCATTGAATCGTCGTCAATGGTATCACCTGTGGTTACCTTCGTATAAATCTCGATTGAATCAATTTCAAAGACAATTTAGTGATAAAATTGATTCACGTGAAAAATTGATTGGTGATTTTGTATGTGCCATACAACGTGAATTGTTACTTCAAGGACGAATGTACGTTTCATTGAATTATATTTCATTTTATTCGAATATTTTTGGCTATGAAACCATCGTGAATATTAGTTATCAAGATATTGAATCAATATCGAAAGCTAGTACTGTGAAGTTATTTCCAAATGCTATCCAGATTATAACAAATAGCGGGTTGAAATATTTTTTCACCTCCTTTGTTTCACGTGAACGTGCATATCAATTAATGACAAAACTATGGCAGCTAGCTAGGCGTGATCAACCAATGCCATGGCCCGAGATACGAAAATTAATACGTGAAGCCTATACTACAAGTAATTTAGGTGTCGATCTTAGTGATCTGGATGATGCCGATGTTGAAATTGATGTACTTTCAAAGGTAAGGCTGGTTTGTATTTTTTTTTATTTTATTTTGATTAATTTTAATTTTTTTTTATTTACCGAAATCACAGAAAAAGAAAAAACATCCAAAACGTAAACGTAAAGATTCGAATCATAATCATCATCATCACCATCATCACCACCATCATCATCATGCGAATAAATCTTTACCGAATTCAAATTCTAGTTCTGAAGGATTAACAACACAAGCTGATGATGTTGAAGAAGAAGAAGAAGAAGAGGAACAATCACCTGTTTTGATGATGAATCGTCGACATTTGGCCATAAAAGAATCTCATAGTTCTTCATCATCTACGATGACAAAAACAACAAATAATGCTGATGTACAAACAGATGATTATGATTTGCAATTGCCACATCATCATCATCATCATCATCACAATCATTATCATCCAGATCATCAATGTTCACTGATGGAAGTGTTTCGACAATCAATCATTAATATGAAAATGAAATTATATAAAATTTCACCAACACAATCACAAGTTATAAAATTTTTATTTATGGTTGCAATGTTATTATTCCTAATACAGATTGCAATCTATTTTCGTTTTCAAACATTGAATCAACGTTTTCAACAAACACAACAAATTTTATTGGAAACATTGGCCAAACGACAAGTTGTTATGAATCAAAGCAGAACAATATCTAATATTGATTCTTCATCTTCTGCTGCTGCTGCTGCTACATCATCATCATCATCATCACATTGTTTTTTAAATTCACATTGTTGAATGGGGCTAAAATGACCACCACATAATAGAATTCTCAATCTTATGGATTTTTAACCAAAAAAACGAATTTCCATCAATTTCTGTCTTTCATGATTCTTGTATGTTGTTGTATTATATTTTTTTTTGCATAGTTTTATCACCATTTTTTGATGTCTGGTTTATTATCATTGTTTGTCAAAGATTATTAATTTCGTTTTCCTTTTTTTCCAATCCGTTTAGCTATATTGTGAAAGTTTTTTTTTGAATTTAGATTATTTTTTTTATGCAAAATGAATCAAATTCATGAAAAAATTTATTATTGCTATCCATACAACAACAGTAGAATGAATGAATTTCCCAATAATTATCATCATTTCCCGGAAGTATATATTGATTTTATAAGCCAATTTCTTTTTGTTTGCTATGAAATGAAGCCAAAAAAAACAATTTTTTTTCAATTCAAAACATTCATTGCTCAGTTGTATATCGAATGATGAATAATAAAAAAAATGTTTCAATCATTAAAAATATCGTTGTTGTTATTTTTTGTAAATTGTTTTGACGATGGACTAAGTGAACAATGTCGTCCATTAAATCAACAAAGACAAGGTTTTCGTCTTGTATTACGTTATCCACCCGGTTGGTGCGTATCGATGCCACGTGATGAATGTGATGGTCCAGCTGATTGGATTATTCAAGGTTTTTGGCCAACACCAATAATCGCACATGATGATCATTCGACAACAAGATTTAATCATCATCGTAATCGATTACAATTTTGTTGTCATAAACAACAGTAAGTTTGTCCATAATCATTTTGCTGCTATATTTATTAATGAATTTTTTTCTTTTTTTTGAAAAAAGATTCAATGAAAAAAAATTGGCATCGATAATCGAACAATTGAAAATATATTGGCCATCCGAATCGTATACAAATCATCACGAATATTGGCAACAACAATGGAATCGATATGGTGCATGTTCACATGATCCAACTGCAATAAATCGACCACTTTCACGTATACATAATTATGATCAAATTGATGTGGCAGAATATTTTGCTCTAGGCATTAGATCTTTTTCGTCGGATACATATTCGAAAATGGCTTGATGATAATCATTTGACACCATCGAATAATCATACAATTCAAACGAATAGAATTCGTGAAACACTTAATTCTCATCTAAATCAAATGGATCAAAGTTCTATGGTTTATCAATTACGATGTGCACACGGTGGTAACAACGATATAGTTATTCCAAAAACTCGACGTCGAAATATTTTGAATGAAATTCGATTTTGTTTTGATGATCGTTTAGAAATGATTGATTGCGCGAAATTTGCGGATACAGATCAACATACAGGACGTACAGGCATCTGTGATGATGATCATGTTTATTATGTTGATAAATCTGGTTGGCCATAGTTACTATTGGAATGAATAATTCTTTTTTTTCCGAATACAAATTTAAGCTTCCTACGCATTGACTTTTTGTTTGTTGATTGGAGTTTTTTTTTCTTTTCCTAAAATTTCGATGTTCTTGGCTTTATCATAAAGGAATGTAAATGTAAACATACATCAAACATTGAATAAATTCTTTAAATACCTTTTTCGTTAATTCGAACGAAATAAAATAAAAACAAAATACTTATGTATGGATAGAAACAAATTTGTGGCTTCACATTCATCATTTCAGTCAATTTGAAAAAAAGAATCATTCAAATTCTTTCACCGTATGTCATGACAACATTTTTCAACGGGAAACGGAATTGAATTCCAAGAAAAAAAACTCGTTGCATTCTTGATGATGATAATGATTGAGATTAATGTTGTCATCCCCACTACGTTATCCGCATCATCTATTTATCAATGCTACTACTATAACAATTTTTGACAACCACAACGACGACCTATAACCTCTTGACAGTTGTTAAATCAACTGCTACACTTGTTGCTCTATATCATGTACTACTACCCTTATATTAATTTGTTGATGCTGCTTCTACTTTAGTTTTGTTGTTCTTATGTGTCATAATGATGAGCAAATTCCTGAATTCAAAGAATTTTTATTTCGAAAATATTCGTGTTCGAGTCATTAAGAATATATTGAAATATTCATAAATTTTGTTCGATAATTTTAATTGTTTGTGTATGTTTTTTTTATAATAAATCTATATAATCATCATCAATCAACACAACATCATCGTATCCACACTCATTATTTGTAAAGGTATTTCTTTTTTTTTTTTTGCATTTTTCCTGATATGATCATTTGTAGGATAATCATCAGATTATCCTACTACTGATTTTGATGATGATGATGATAATAATGATGAGGGATTTAAACATTCGATTTTCAAAGTTTCGATACACTTGTTGTTGTTTACGTTGATCGTCAACGGCGACAACAACAAAAACAACAACAATGCCATGTCGATTGCCAAAGCAACAATCATCATCATTATAATATATGTATGTGCAAATTGAGGAATGTTTGGAATGTTGTAATATCGACTCGGCTGTTTTGTTGAAGAGAGAGAACCTCAATAACAACAACAATTTAGTTACAATCAATTTGAACCGAGTTATACGAGAGAAAGAGAAAAGAAATAAGCGCGTTCTTATTCTTGCTTTTCTTACTTCTCACGAATTGAATTGAATCGTCGTAACTTCAATTCCATCCACTATCATCACCATCATATACATTATTATAAAGTAATAAATATGTGGACATGTTGAATATTTTTAACTTATCTCATAATAAGTTTCTCTCTCTTTATATATACCTGTTGCATGTTTGAATTGTTGTTTGTTTGTTGTTATAAGGACATTTTTTCTTTGAACGTCTTCTTCGGCTTTGAAAATGACGACGACCGATCAAACAACTCTGTACATATACATTTACACATTAACAACAATCAATCGACTACAAAACCGCCAAACATTCAATGTTGTATGAATGAATAAAATGTGAAGAAAAAGAGAGAAAGTCCACATGAGCCACGAATATTATATACAAGAGAGAGAGAGAGAGAGAGAGAGAGAGAGGCATTTCTGAAACATTAGTGCATTTATACTCAACATTGGTATGTGTGTCGTCCAGTGTGTGGAATAAGCTGATCTGTTTTTTTAATTTTTGATTTTTTCTGACCGTGATTATATTCATCCGAATGGATTTTGATTATCCATCCGATAAATATCGTATCCGAATCATTGAGATATTATTATCATAGGTGAGTTTCTAAGAAAATTAATTCTTGCATCTTTATTTGTTTGTTTGTGTGAATTTTTGATCAAAGAAAAAAAAATTCTTGGTTGTTTTGTTTTGTTTTGATTTTCTTTTCTTTCATTGCTACAATACAACAATCTTCATAATGTTCATGTGTTTGTGTGTGTGTGTGTTGAATCCACAGCGGTAATCCACAATCAAACCATCCACCACATACTGAGGTTAGAAAAAATTGCTGCCACCACCACCACCATAAGAAAAAAAATGTATAAATGATGACGCCATTTCTAAGTAACAAAAAAAAAGTTTAAAGAATCCTTCAAGAATCTCCACACACACACACACACACATCTCCATTGCTACAAGTTTTGATTCCTATAGACTGAATCATCATCATTTATAATTATAGTGGCGCAATAGTCCGATTCATCATAATTATGTGGTTCTTAGAGCCTTTTTTTACATTCGAATGTTTTTGATATAATCAGCAGACAATTTTACATAATTCATTCTGGTGTGTGTCTGTGTGTGTGTGTCTTTATCACATTATCATCACTGTCTCGTTTTTTGGTCTTTATGGTGATGGAATGAATACACTTTCACATCAAAATGTTGCCATATTTTTTTTATAATTCTTGAGAAATGAATGAAAGAATCATTTTATAGACACATACAAACACACACACAGGACAATGTTTCATGTTGTTGTTTCATCGTCTGCATTTTTTTCGTTGTTGTTCTTGTACTTTTTAATTAATCAATTGATACATCGATTGTATGGCAAAAAAAATTGGAATAACATTCCTTATTTCAAAATACATCCGTTAGTCCCTTTTTTTGATTTATTGGGCTCAAGGTTTGTTCAATGTTGGAGAAAAACACACACACACACACATTTGATTACACCTCTCTCTTCAATCGAGATTCATTAATTGATGGAATGTTTGGAATGTCTTTATTTTTTTTTATTAGAGATCGTTGTCGATGTGATATCTCGATGGTCTCTATTAGAAAATGAGAGTATGAAAGTACAATAAAAAAAATGCAAAAAATTTCAATTTTTTTTTAAAAAGCTCGTTTTTCTTCTTTTTTTCATTGCTTTGCTACTCATGTGTGATTCATTTTCATTTGCATCAACCTAAATACCATCACCACCACTCAATATTTTTTTGTTTTTCAATACCATTGATTTTTATTTCTTGATTTATTTTTTTCCAGTAAAATAGTCCATTTTTTTGCTAATTTTTCTTTGAAATTCTTAATTCTTGTCTTAGGTTAATCATCATCATCATCATCATCACCATCAACAACATACTATTTTACGTCTTCTTTTTTTTCGTTTTGACGCATCACTTTTTTTCAGTGTTTATATGCTTGATGAATGCCAAGATCATCATAATAACATAACCAACGTTATTGTTTATATGCATAATGATGACAATGAATGTATAGGAGAATCATCATCATCAAAAAACAAAAGCAGCTACAGCAACAGCAGTAGTAAATAACCGTTTTATTTTAAAAGAGTTGCAACATCTTTAAAAAAGAAAAATCTTTACATTTTGTGGCTTTGATGGACTATGACTACACATTATATGATGATGATGTGATCAACGAACCAAAACCAAGTACACTTTTTCAACTAAAATCTATTAATTTTTTATTCATAAACCAAACAGACGAGATTGGTATGCAAATCGATTTATAGGATAGTCAAATATTTATTGATTATCATTTAATTGATACCTGAACAATAAAGAGATATTGATATTTACAAATGGTGCTACCTATTACATTGGCCGTGATGCCGAAAAAAAAGGATCATCATCATCATTCATCAAATTATTCCAATATTGGTGTTGCTGGTAAATATACGAAAAAAGAATCACCACCCAATTTGCCAAGTAAGCATTTTATTCGGAAAAAAATTCTTAAAATGAAATTAATGGTTTTATTTCAAATTTCACTTTTCTATTTTTTCTTTTTTAAGTAATAAATATTTGGACATCATCAAGTTTATCGACAACTACAAATTCAAAACTCTCTACCGTTAATAATAGGCAACTCAACAATGTTTATTCATCAGCTATTACGGCAGGTGTTAGCCATCAACAGAATTCATCTATATCGAATTTATTGGCTTCATCATTTAGTACATCGATCACTAATCTTGCATTCATTGGTCAACAACAATCATCTCCTAATGTCAATAATAATAATGCCAAACAACAACAAAGTCCGCAGATTCAACAACAACATCATTTCCATGCCAATTCTACTTCGAATCTTTTCAATCAACATCAAAATCCTACAAATTCAGGTCAGTATAGTTCATCTTAGCAGAAAAGATTTAAACCTATTTTCACATTTGAAACAGGATCAACGATCCCAAACCTATCAACAAAGGCAAATCATTTAACATCGACAACGGCCGATCATTGCAATAATTCTCGTATGACAAGAGCATCATCACAAATGACAATAAATAATAATGGTTTGTCTAGTTCATTTGTTTTTGTATGGATCAAATCTTTTATTGATCGGATAAATTTCATTCAACTAGGTTGTTATCAAGTGCCAACAACTGGGCCAATTTTTGCATCAACATCATCAAAGACAACGAATTCAATGATGGCCACAAGTGGCACAAACAATAGTCAATTAAAATCGACTCCATCATCAAGCAATTCATCATTGCAATCAATACATAATAATTATAATGGCCAATTGATCGATTCATCACCATCATCATCATCTATGACAATAATGACAACGTCATCTTTGACGACAAATAATAATAGTGCAATGTATCAATCAATTAGTGGCTGCCGGCAGCAATCTTTCCAAAGACATGGACAACAACCACAACAACAAAATGCAGTCGCCTCACAGATTGCTTTGCGGGCTACATCATCCACCGCTTTAGGCGGAATAAACGATCCAAACATAATTGTAACACAGACAACGATTCCTACGACGACAACAGCATCAAATTATCTTCAATTAAATCACCAGCATAGTAAAATGTGGATCTCACAACCTACATTACGTGCCTCAAGTCCATCTCAATCATCATCACAGATTCGTTCAATGATGAATTTGAATCAAATGGTTTCCGGATCTGTTGCAAGTAATAATAATCAACCGGTTGGTTCCTCTGTAAGTTCGTTATTTCAATTTATTTTTTCATGATTTATTCACATTTGTCATTTTCCCTAAAAAAAGTTTACATCAAATAATTGTCAAAACAATCCTACTCATTCAAACTGCTATTCGAATCATCAACAACAACAATTATCTAATTATGTTCAACAACAACAAGCAAGTCATCAGATAATGTTAATGAATTCATTAGTACATGATTTTCATAAACAACAACAACAACAACATAATGCCTCATCAAATTCATCGATCAATCAGGCAATCGATTCATTTCCTTCCAACTATTATTCACCATCATCATCATTATCGTCGATACATGAAAATTCATCCACATCAATAACTAATCTTAATAGTAGTCAACAACAATTCAGTCAATTACAGTCATCATCATCTCAATCATCTATGAATAATTATTCACCTAAAACATCTAATAAACAAGAATCAAATTGGACTCAACAACAAAATCGAATGCCTATATCACAACAACAACAACAAGCTCAACATTTATATCAGAATACATCATCATGTTCATCGATCAATAATTTAGCCAATATAATGAAATCATCGTCATCATCAACAGGTATAAATCATAATAATGGCAGTAATACAACATTGGATTCTTTCGCTGAAAATATGCAAATACAAATGTATCATAAACAGATTCAGGAACAATATTCTAAACAACAAACACAAGAATTGTTGGCCCGTGTACTTTCTGCTGCTGCTACAACTGCACCAAATACTTATAGCCAACAACAAGAACAACAAATACAGCCACAGCCAAATGTCGGCTGTTCGACGTCATCATCACAATCATCATTATCTTCTCTACAATCTGGACCATTCAAATCATCATCTAATCAAGCATTATCGATAGGAGTTGGTGGATCGAATTCTAAATCTAATTCTAATCAAAATCTAACTTCATGTGTATCAAATTCAAATTTATCAATGAACACTACTACGACCCAGCAAATGGAAAATGCATCATCACCAGCAACAACAACAGCTATTGCTGGATCATCATGTGCAATTGCTGTCAATAATAATAACAACAATGGCCAAGAAGAATCATTGCCTTTACCGCCTGGATGGTCAATCGATTTTACATTACGAGGAAGAAAATATTATATCGATCATAATACTAAAACTACTCATTGGAGCCATCCATTAGAATCTGAAGGTCTACCAACAGGTTGGGAACGTGTTACATCTTCAGAATATGGAGTCTATTATGTTAAGTAAGTTGATGAACATAAACATTCAAACATTTGCATGATATTTTCTTTATCCCCTTCAGTCACATTACACGACAAACACAATTTGAACATCCATTGGCTGCTCGTTATGGTCAAAAATTAATGCCAACAACAAACACAACAACAACTAATACAAGCGTTGGGCCATCTTGTTGGTCAAATCCTCAACCTTCACAATCACAACAATTGACCAATCCACAACAGCAGCACTCACAACAACATATTTATGTGAATGCTGCTAACATTCAACAGTTGCTTAATTTAAGCAAAGAAATGGCTGCATCGTTACCTAAAGAAGAAAATCATACTATCTCCGATAATCACGTTTATTCAAATGTACATTTACTGTCTCAACAATTGTTGCAGAAGCATCATCAACAACAACAAAAACTACAATTAACACCGCTATTAGAAAACGATGGTGGAAGCTCTGCATCATTCTTGGCTAATGATTCTGGACAATATGCCAATACTGGAAATTTGAATAGACTTTCATCATCAGAATTGAATAATAGTAGTGGTGATAAATCATTTGATAATCAAAAAATGAATCCATCATCATTACCTCAGCATAGATTACTAAGCAATGCTCTATTGAGATCTACCCAATTATTGAATAATTGTTCAAATGAACAAATGGATAAAATTGATCATAATGTGGATGGCATTACTAATCTTTCAAAATCTATAGAGCCTATTTGTTTACCATCACCATTACGACAGCATCATCAACCATCAACAGCATTGCCATTACCACCACGTCCATCACGTATTAATGATTGTATTGTTCCCGCCAATCCTTACCTGACCGAAGAGATTCCTCATTGGCTCTACATCTATTCAAAAGCTCCACCTGAACATGACCATAAACTTAAGGTAAGAAATATCAGTGTGTTTCAATCTAGCGATGTATTCAATGTAATTATGTTTGTATTTAGTGGGAACTATTTCGTTTACCTGAATTGGATTGTTTTCAAGCCATGTTGAATCGCCTTTATCGAACCGATATGGAAAGATTAGTCATTTCATATGAAATTATACGTAATGCATTGCTAAGAGAGATTGAACGTCGTACCACCGAAAATAAACATAAATTCACAGCAATCAATATAAATGATAAAAATGACAATATTCCATCAACGAATAAGGATAAAAATAATTCAGCATTATTATCACAACTAATACAACCAAATGATGACATTGAGGCGAGTGAATCGTCACCGGAACCTCCACCCGAATTTCGTAATGAAAATCATCTGACACCTTCAACAACCAATAGCATCATTTGTTCACCTTCATTGAATTCGATTACAATCATATCATCACCTTCATTGTCACAATCGGATAATTCGACACTTACCACAACCATATCTCCATCATCGATACCATCATTCGTATCGATTTCGCATCTTTTCACTGCGGAAGAAGAAACAAAAGTTTAAAAAGTTTAAAAGATGATCGACCCTTCCCTGTTGAAGCATAATCGAAAAAATGTTCAATTCTAAGTCAGATTCTTCGATTTTTTTAGTTATTCTTGACTCTTTTCTTGTTTTTCAATTTTATTATTATTATTTTGGCTTGCTGTTTTTCCATCACATCACGGTCAACGATTCATTCGAGTTAGAATATGCATGTACAAATCAATACACCATTGTTCATATATTGGTTCATTTTATGTTGTGTTCATTTGGCAGAATAAATTTTTTTGTCTAATCAATCAAAAATAAGAACATTAATCTAAAAAACAGTTTTTAATCATTAAATAATTACCAGAATCGGTGGGCGCGTCTTTCGAAAACCATCCAATGAATCAGCAAGCAAATTACCATCGTTAAGCAAGGTGCCACTAAATCTAATATTTTTTGATTCAAACACGTCGTTTAAAATGTGTGAGAGCACAGAACAAAAATATCAATAACCAAATGGTTGAAACAATAAAAGCCGATGCTACACTTGAATGACGAAGATCCCAATCGCGAAGCAATATGAATCTTAAAGCGTCGATTGACTGCGTGGATGGTAAACATTGACTAACGTATTGTAAGACGGTGGGCATACTTTGTACTGGCCAAAATATTCCACCAATTATAACGCTAGGAAAGAATGTACCAATCGATAGTGTAGTCGCATAAATCTCATCCGGACAAGTTGCCGATAACATCAGGCCGTACATCAAACCACATAGGCCTTGTAAGCAAATCAAACTGATTGATAATGGTAATGAACCCAAATACGGCATACGGAATAGATAGAATGCTGTTACGAATACAAGAAACAATTGTACCATCAATATGCATGATTGTATGAGTATGTGACTGAAGAGAAATTCAGCTGTCGTTGCACCGGCAATCAATGCACGTTCAATCAATTGTTGACGAATTTCATGTATGAGCAAATGGCAGCTCACGATGGTCGTAGCAAAGAATGCAATCATGATCAACGCACCAGGTGCTATGAATGTTTCAACAACGGCAACTGATGTTTGCTGGATGCCATATACCGGCGGTCCAAATGCGATTGGTGGTTTGAATGTATGATTACTCAGACCCATCGATACGGCTAAACGTTGGGCAAAATTCAAGAATGCTGTCAATAATTGTCGTTGAATTTGTAGCCCAATCAATTGATTGGACATGTCCAATTGAACGTAAACAGAGCTTTCATCCCAAATAGAGAATTGTTGTGATTTCGTTGATTGTTCATCACCACCATTATTACCGTTGTCATTATCATCTTCGTTGATGTAACCAAAGGAAAAAAATCTTGATCGTAAAGCTTCACTGAAACGTTTATTGAATTGCAAAACGGCTGCAGCTTGATTACTTTTGGCTGCATCATATGCTTGTTTTGGGCTATCAAAATAATACAGTACAAATGCATTCGGTTCGAAACTATCCAAGAAAACTTGACTTAAATCTGGTGTAGGGCATTCACCATTATATACGGCTATCGGTATATGATCAATATCTCGACCGATACATAACATAATCAATGCCATTTCGATTGCCGGCAATAATATGAAAAATAATAATAATGACCAATTACGATAAACTTGGCGGAAATTTTTTCGTACCAATGTCCAAAGATGAGACAGACAAATGTAATGATTATAATTGTAAGATCGTCGTCGTCGTCGTGGTATAAGCCATTGTTGTGATTTTCGTTGATTCGAAATTGATTCTTTCGAAGGATGAATTCGATTACTACTGTGATTAATGGTACCACCATTAGTAGAATCATTGATGGTTAAATGTTCCTGTTATTGAAATGTAAAATAAAAACGTGATCAGTGAGTGATGTTCAAATTGTTTCGAAAATATTGTCAAAGATTGATTCAACTTGATTATATCGAGCGACATCTATCGCTTTCATGTATTATTAATTATAATTCAATTTTTTTTTTAATCAAATGCACCATTCATTATTATGACCAGATGATGATTAGCTAAAAGAAATAAAATGAAAGCAAAAGAGGGAGGTTAACCAGAGGATAATTATAAATTCAAACGACGTGTATTATTTGAATCGGTCGTCAGATATTATCCAAACAAATAGAATACACACACACACAAGAAAAAATAACCATGTCACACTAAATCGTATTCATTCCACCAAACGAATGAATAAACTTTTAAAAGTGAAAAAAATTGGTTTTCCGCTTCAACTATTCTATTGAAAAAAGAAAAAAAGCTAAAAAGGAAACAGTTGTCGTCGTCACACACACACAAGAATTTTAAATCGTATAGCTCATTCAATAGGAGAAGAGAGAGAGAGAAAACCGAAAAAACCAACATTGAATTACATTATAAAGAAACTATTTTAAATGAAAAAAATTTTCTTTACTCACAGAAAGTAGTTGGGCCACCACACACCACACACAAACTATCCGGGTAGTTTTTTTTTTATAAACGCCAGAAGCTAAAATGGTGGAAATATAAATTCAAGTTCTTGTGTTGTAAAAACCCAATGATGGTGGTGGTGATGATTAACACATTTGAAATGAATTCATTTAAGAAAAACTGTATGTGGACTGACATGACCGATTCTGTGTGTGTGTATGAAAAATTCAATCAAATCAAATCAAAACCAAAGAGAAAAAAATGAAAATAAAATAAAATAAATCTGATTAGCTTTGCCTCGATGATGACGATGATGATGATGTTTTCCCTGATGACGCGTCTACATTGCCTTCATCATCACAATGGCTATCAAAAAATATTGAATTCATTTTTTTCGTTTGAAAAAAAATCCATCTCATAGTTGAAATTGTCATTGTCATCGTAACTGATTTTTTTCTTGGCTGTTTTTATTGTAGTTGTGAGAAGCTGCTAATAATATTGGCTAGTATTATATGTGGTTCTCCCTTATGGGAATTTTCAATTTGAAAAAAATTTGATGAAATTGAAAAATCAAAAATTTTTTGTTGTTGTAGTTGCTCGAAGCCTATTATGTATGTATAAAAATAGTAAACAGAAAAACTTACCGTAGTCATAATTAAATTGTGGTTTTTTTCCTGATCATCTAGTGGTGGGCCGATAATTTCAATGAAATTTACGATTGATTGACTTTTTTTGGCCACCTTTTTATCATCATCATCATCATCACCATTATCAACCACGACATTGGAACTGATGATTGAAGGTGATCGAGAGATAAGTAGCTGCTGTTGATCATCATGATAATGACATAGTTTGAGGAATGCAGCTTCCATCGTATCCACACGGAATCGTCGAAGTAAACGGCGAGGATGATCTTGTACAAGTAACCGTCCACGACGTAAGAAGCCAATTTGATTTGCATGACGTGTCTCTTCAATGTAATGAGTGGTAAGTAAAACAGTTCGACGTTTGACCGATGTCAAATATTTCAAATGTTTCCATATAGATTCGCGTAATAATGGATCAACACCGACGGTTGGTTCATCCAATATCAACAAACGAGGATCATGTAACAAAGCAATGGCCAATGAAACACGTCTTCGCTGGCCACCACTTAAATGTTTTATCAGCTGATTCCTATGTGAACAATCATGATGATGACCGACATCACCACCAGTACCAACATCCAATTCTAAAAGTTTCAATAATTGATCGATACGTTTCATACATTCATTGTTAGGCATACGATATAGTCGACCAAAATATTGTAACATTTCAAATGTACTGAATTCATTATACAAAACAATATCTTGAGGCATGTATCCAATATTACAAAGATGTGATGGTGATTGTTCATTGGGATCGATTTCCTGTCCAAAAACTTGTATAGAACCAGAAGATGGTGATAATTGACCAAGAATCAAACGTAACAGTGTAGTTTTACCACATCCAGATGCACCTAATAGGCCATAAATTTCTGATTGACAAACAGCCAACGATACATCATCCAATATGGCAGCCATTTCCTTATCATCATTCACGTTATTTTTGCATTTATTTTGGAAATAAAATGTCTTCTCATCATAACGAAATGTTATGGAATTTAGCTCAAGAATTGTCTTATTCATCGTTATCGATTAACACCTTTGTGCATTGAACGATTCAAATGGAATGAATGAATTTCAACCGAAAAGTATTGATCTCGATTGCGAAAATTCTCGTTGCTGATAAATCGACAGACGATAAAAATCAATTCATATAATTGATTATCAATGAAATATGAATAAAAAGCCTTGAATATAAATTTGATTGCTTTTTTGTGCGGAGAATGAAAAAAATGGGTCAACAGTGTTTCAGGATCACAACACACCAAGAATTTAATCTGGATAATTCATCATGACACATTTAAACTTAAACACAACAGCTGAATATTGTCAAGTATTCAAAGACAATAAATAGAAATTAACCCCTTCTTCTAAGCGTTTCTTCAAAATGTCTACTGGATTGGTGTTGATCGGGAACAGATTCTTGCTGTTGCTGTTGTTCGGTAATTGTTTTGTTTGTTTCAGGAAATGGATCATATGAATATTCATTCCATTGAATTTTAACAGTTTCTTTTGGCTGTGGTCGTACTAATGGTTCCAAGGTTTGTTCTACATTACCACTGCAAACAGTAACAGCATTTGTTTCTTTAATATCTTGACCAAAACGTTCTTGTACAATTTGATTACCTTCCAATGGTTTTGGTGGTTCAGATGTCTGTGTTGGATCATTGAAACGTAATATATAATGATCATATCCATTATCATTAACTTGTTGTTGTTCGGCCCATAGACGAATTGTGCCCCAATTTTCTGGCAAATGTATCTCGAAAAAACCACCAGCAGCTGGTCCTGGTGGTTTTGTTGTTGCTGGTCGTAGTTGCTTAGTGGTAGTAGATGAATCACTTTTTGAAATCATCAAAAGTTTTTTCAGATTTTCCGTTGATGATGTGGATGATGATGACGACGACGACGATGATGATGATGCTGATAAATCGGACATTTTTTTCAATTCAAAAAATCAATTTTCAAAACGCACACACCCACACAAATACAATAAAACAATAATCGATTACCATTAATCATGATTTTAAATAACGAATTGTTTTGCATTCTAAAAATTTTTTAGAAAAAAAGTTAATAATTTTATTTACAACATTCAATTCAATTCAATTAAATTAAAATTAAAATTAAAATGAATAGAAAAAAAAATTTACATTTGACAAATTTTCTACACAAAAATTTTGAGATCACTTTCTATATTTATATCAACACAAATTGTACGTTGTAAAAATGTGTGGAGGGTTTTTGTTGTTTTGTTTCACACTTTTTTATATTTTTTTTGTGATTATTATGCATATTAGATTCTAAGGCGAGTGTTGAAATTTTACAATATCAAAATAAAATTGTCCATAAATATATGGTGATGAGGATGAGGATTTGGATGTTTTGATATATCAAAATATAAGTAAAATCATGGATTGAAATTGTGAATCAAAATTTATCATCAACTAGATGATGATGATGATGATTGCACCAAAGAAACGAAAAAAAAAATGTTGCACATCTAAATAATGATAATTTTTTTTTACAAAATTGGAAATATAATTCGGTCGATTCATTAAGGGAGATTTTTAAAAATCTATCTATCCATATAGATTATCAATGTTTGATCGTGTTACAACAAATGTCGATGGTGTTTGCTGCTGCTGTTGTTGTTGTTGTTGTTGTTCATTATAAAAACGATCAAGAATAGTTTGATGATAATCAGGTGGTTCTTGTTGTTGAAGAGGTTCAGTAGATTCAGAACGTCGAAAACAAGATGATGATGATGATGATGTAGGACCACCAACAACATTTGTTGTTGTTGCTGCTATTTGTGGATAATTATTATTGTCCGAATGTTGTCGAATCATCATTCCACTATTTCCACCTCCTCGATGATGACGATTATTACTACTACTGTTACGCCAATTGTTGTTATTATAGCTTCGAAGACTATTATAGAATGGATTAGGCGATGATGATGATGTTGATGATGAATTACCATTTGCTGAAGATATTATCGAATTATTAGTAGTAGTAGTCGGGTTTGTGGGATGATCAAAATTATAATATAATCTTGTAGATATTGGTGATTGATGATATTGTTGAGGTGTACCATTGAGATTATTTACGAATCGTGGTGATGAATTATTCGATGGTTGATCTGATTGTGGATTATGTTGACGTATTAATGATCCATATTTATTTGTCGATGGTAATAATCGACGACGAGAACTGGAAGATAAATTATTATCATTATTTGAAGACAATGAACTTCGAAATTGTTGCTGCTGTTGTTGTGATCGATTTTGGTTATTGTTGTTGTTGTGAATGAAGAAGAAATCTCTTTCAGGTTTATAGGCAGTGGATGGGACGGATGAATCATCATCATCATCTTCATAATCATTTCCACCATCGTCGTCATCATCGTAGGATTCATAATCTGGTTCGATTGTCTGGTGAGATTTTCCACGATTATTATTCTCAACAAGGCACTCAATAGATTCTTTATTTGCTGGATTCAATATTGCATTGGATTTATTGATGAAATCACCAGAATCAGAATAATCTGAACCTGAATGATGTTGTCCATTGTTCGTCAGGTTGTTGTTGTCAGTACGTTGAGATTTCGTTGAAAGTTTTGTCGATGATTGCCGTTTTTTACGTAGAGCAATCAATTTCGGTTCTCTCACCTCTTCATAATTGGCTTGTAGATATGGATTATTTTCATAATGATCTTCAATCATATCATTGTCATCAGTTTGATGATGATTGATTGAATCCATTTCCATATGATTGGCTTTATTATTACCCTGTTTATTGATTGAATTATTAAATTTAGCCATTGTGAATCTTTGTTGTTGTTTTGTGATATCTGGTGGTGGTAATGGTGGCAATATCTGTAGATTTGATGTATTTGAATTATTACCCGATGAAGTTGTCACAGAAGTTGATCCAGTTAATTGACCATCACCATGTACAGATGAAGATGATTCTTGAAGACAATGATAATCAGGTTCAGCATATACGGGATTAGCTGATGGGCTTGTACCATCACCCAGGCTATCATCATTATGACCACCTGAAGGTGATGGATATGAAACTAGAAATGGTTTTGAGGCACTATTCTCAAGATCTAGATCACCACCATCATCGGAATTTGTTATCATACCACCATCATATATGGAACCATCAGCTGTACTATAATGATTTTGATTCTGTTGTCGTAGTTGATGATGATAAAATGATGATTTCGATAAGGTTCCAGTTATCAATGGCGTGGTTAGTTGTTGTTGATGATGATGATTCGACATTGTTCCAGCCATTCGATAACCGGCAGTAAGTGTAGCGGTTTTTGAACAATTTGTATCCATTGTATTAACTATGAATGCTGAATCCAATGGTTGATCCGATGTTGAATGATGTGCATCAAGCATCAATAAATGATGAGCTGGTCGATTTAATTTCAAACGTTGTGGAGTATTAATATCATCATCGACTGAATTACGTGAACCACCGAATCCTTTGAATGATGATGAAGCACCACCACCAGTTCGGCTACCATTTCGATGAAGACAGAATACAATGGCAACTGCCGAGAATAATACTAAACAAAATACGATAAGACCAGCTGATGCAGCTACCATGAATAAATTATCATAAGCACTATCAGCAGTAGATTGGCCCAAACCATTTCGACCACCCGTAGAAGATGACATAATCTGACCAGAAGTGGGTGTTTCTTCATACCAACATGGACGAGATTCTCCAATCGCATTTGAAACAACACAAGCATATTCATCAAGATCGGCATCAGCAGGTACACCCATTACAATACTTTGTCTAGTATGTCCACCAACACTATGACCAACGATAGCAACATCATCATAGTTATCACTCTGAAAATGATTATGGTGGCGATTTTGTTGTTGCGGTTGTTGATGATAATAATCAAATACAGCAGTCGCACCAGATGAATCACTAGCATAATCATAATCTTGTGATATAGCAACAAATAATGAATGATCAGAATTAAGTGATGGATGAATTTCCATCAATTCAGAACCATTTCGTCGATACCATGAAAATTTTCCAGGTGCTGGATTCGATATGGCCGTACATGATAACATTATTGGAACAGGCTGTTGTTGTTGACGATCCAAACGGCTAGAAGAATCTTGTGAACGATGTCGATTATGAAGTATTTTAGCAGTATTTATACGTCGAAGTTCACATTCCGGGCGATCTAAAATGAAAAAAAAATGATGATGAGGTGGTAAGAACTGAATTTTTTTGCACTTAAAAACTTACAGAAAACATTAATAGTTAATGTAGAAGAAGAAGAACCATGTTGATTAGTGGCCACACATGTATAATTACCGGATAAAGTTCTTGTAGCATGAAAACGTCCATTCAATTGATTATGATGAGATGATGAAGTAGTAGTAACATCCAGCTGAAATTCCATTGAAGTTTCAAGTATTTTACCTTGAGGATTTTGTGCCATAGATTTATCCAACGTTAATTGTGGACCAATAGCCACAATAGTCTGATTATTACGAGAATGATTTTCATGACTATAATAACCTTGCGTAGGAACAAATGGTTCGAATGTCCAATAATAACGTGGAGTTGGATTACCGAATGCTGAACATTGTATCGGTTTTTCAGGATATCCTTCTCCTTCCAATAGATCAATACCAGGCACTGATAGATGAACTGAATGTGGTAAATCTGTGCAATATAAATCATGATTATGGTGGGTTTTTTTTGATGGAAATGATGTTAACAAAAACACTTACATTCACGACGAAATACAACTGTGGAATGAACTGGTGGACCTAATTCTTCTGTATCAGAATTGGATGATACACATGTTAATTGATCAAAATCAAATAAAACCGAAGTATTGTGTATTGTAAATGATGACCATGTATGAGATGGACCTTGAATGCTGCCTTCAGATTGTTCATTGATCAACGAAAAAATCATTTCATTCCCATTACGTAATTTAGCACGATATTCATTGGTCAATAGCGATGATGGAAGAATACCCCTTGTATCTGGAGATAAACGTGTCAGATTATTGTGGAACCAATGAATCTCACACGGTGGTTGACATTCAACTCGACATGTTAAAGTTAGATTTTGATCGGACAGTGCTCCAATGGTGGCTGGAAGCGATTGCAGTATCCGTGGAGGAGCTATGATGAGCAAGTGATGATAAACTTATTAAGATTATTAATTTATGGATAAAAATATTTACATTTAACATCCAAACGGAATTGACCCCATTCCCCTTGGCCTAAATCATTGATCGCTCGGCAACGATATTCACCCGAAGTAGACATATCGGCTTTTGGTGTTCGATATCTTGCAATCAAAGGATTTTGTTGAACAGAATCACTAGTCATAGGTGGTGGTGGTGGTGGCTGAAAATGTGTCGTTGCACGATCAATACGAACACCATTATGGGTCCATATGATCGAATTAGCGGGAGGATCACCAGGATCATCGATTCTACATTCCAATACTGCTTGTGTTCCTTTAAGTATATATCGATTATTTGTATCACTATTACTGCTACTGGTCAACATCAACGAAGCTGGTCCAGGTGGATCTGTGAAATTTGAAACAAAAAAAAAATAATGATCATCAAATGCATGCCAGAAAAAAGACCACTTACATTTGACAGAAATAATTTTCGCAGCCGATAATCGACTACCGTTAGAAGCACCATTGAAACCTATGCAGCTATAATTTCCACGATGTTCACGAGTTACATTGGCAATGATCAAAATTTCAGGTTCATTAAGATAATGAACGTATGGTTCACCATTATTGGTTGACCATGATGTTCCATTTGGTGTCAATAAAAATTGACCATTTAATGGACCAGATAATGGTGTTGATTCATCGATCAATGTAAAATGTTTACCAGTACCGATTCGATGATAGAAACTATGATGCAAAAATGATGGAGTTGTTGTGGTCGTCGTCGATGATGATAACGATAATGTTGATGATATCGTTGGAATAATTTGAGAGGATGCGGATTGCCGTTGTTGTTGTAGTTTATGGAATGAAATTGTTGTTATAAAATGACGGCCATTACGATACCAATTGACGGTTTGTAATTTGGATGGATTTCCGTGTAACGTTGTGCAACGTAATGTCATTGTTGGCATGACTGGTGTATCTGAACGTTCTTCAATAATTTGATTTTTTGGTTCTACAACCTCTAGCGATACAATGGGAGGATCTGTAAAATGAAAAAAAGATGATTTTTTTTGATTGGATCTAGAAAGCAAGTGATTAAACGAGAATACATACATGCCACTTCTAAACGAGCTGTTGTTATTGAATCACTTGCACCGAATTTATTACGTATACGACATTTATAATTGGCACTATCATTACGATCAATATTTCTGATAGTCAACATTGGTGTACCACGTTCATCACGTGACATGAAAATTTTTTTATTTGAATTTTCATCATCATTCGGTTGTTGCTGTAAAAATGCTGTATCTAAGAGCCGATGATCTTTGTACCAACGTATTTCTGATATATTCATTGGATTTGCATCATATGTACACCAAAATTGTACGGTAGAACTTTCATTCACGGCAATTAGACCGTCTGGTTCGATGGCTACAACTGGAGCATCTATCAAAATAGAAATTGATAAAAAAGGGTTAATTTTATAATGCAAACAACAATGGGGCATGTACATGAATGAATTTGTGTCGATTAGTCGATCGATCAAAAAAAAAAAAAAAAAAAAAAAAATGTGAAAGAACAAAAAAAAAACAGACAGACAGACAGCTCAGCCAACACATGATTGATGGGTGAGAATCCGTTGTGTGTGTGTGTAAGAATCAAAGGTTATATACCACATGAATATTCCTGCGTTATTATTATTATGAAAAACTTTAATATCCGGAACGGTACAATTATTTTTTTTGTTGAAATTATTCTGTGTGTGTGTGTGTGTGGTTATTTTGTTATCATTATTTTCAATTTGCCATTCACATATTACATACAAACACACACACACAATGAAAGTGAAAAAACTTTTTTTTCAGAGAAAAAAAACGTCTAATGAATCCTTAATGATCTCTTTCAGTTCTGCTGATTCTTTCATATATTCATAATCACTATTATGATTATCATAATTATCATTAACATATAGGTAGGGTGTGTGTGTGTGTGTGTGTGTGTGTGGTAGGAACAAGTGGAAAAAAATGAAAAAAAAAAAAATAAAAATACATAAACGACGATCATCATCATCATAATCATGATCAAGGCAAATCGATCAGTATTATGTAAATATAATAGGGTTATAATTGCACTTTTGAATAATGAATGAACAAATGAATGAATGAATGAATGAATGAATGATGATGATCATCATCAATTATTATTATTTTGGGAATCATCTATCAATTCTCAATTCATTATTAAAAGTTATTATTATACATCAGAGAAATCAAAATGAAAGAAAAAAAATTTATTTTTAAACTAATAGATAGATGTTATATATGTGTGTAATTGATGAAGTTTCAGCCATTAGGAATCGGAATTGGATTTTTTTTATTGTTTTGCTTTGTTAAAAAATGAAAAATTTTCGAATACTTTTAATTTAAATCACGAATCATTGTGTGTGGGTGTATCGGTGTGAATCGGTAGTGGTGGAAACCATATGTGATTCTGTAACGAAAAACCACACCGCGTGTTGTCATCAAAGTCTATGTTTTTTTTTTGTTGTTGTTTGTATTTCAGGCTCTATAATTAGATTTAAAATTTTTTTTTTGCCACCAATATCAGTGTGTGTGTGCGTTTGATGTCTCGATTTGGTTGGTTGATTTTATTTTGTTCTTTCTTTCTACATTAGTTATGAATTCTATACACAAGCTGTTTTTTTTCTGGTACATCATATGTGTACATACACAGGATGACATTCTGACCGATTCTTCATCATATTCATAGAGGTGGTTATATTCTGGTGGGTGTAGAGTAGTTGAAAAGAATCATAATTTTGTGTTTTTTTTTTTTTTTTTCTTGTGAGTGAAAAACAAAAACCAAAATAGAAAAAAAAATAGGTCTCATGTATACATGTAGTGAAATGACACTAGAATAATGATGAATCGTCATTTGATTGATTCAACAATGATGATGAAGATGATGATGATGACTCACGCCATTATTTTCTAAAAGAATTCATTGACGCACTTGAAAGAATTGGCCAACCAAAGAAACAAAAATGGAAAACACTTAATAAATGAATCATTGAAATGAATTTACAACAGTAAATTTGAAAAATTCAATGAAATAGAATTTATTGTCGAACAAAACAACAACAACAACAACAATGATTGACATTTGGATTTATTTAAAATTTGTTCAAATTCATTCATTCATAGTTTACAACATGGGATCATGCCTTGGTCACTGTAGTAATATAAAACCATTTAGTAGACAAAAACTTCATACAATGACCACGACAATAATAACGAAAACACCGACAATGATGAAAATTGAAATTCCTAAATCTTCTTGTTGTTCTGTTCACAACAACAACAACAACAACAACATAACACCAACTACAAAAACAAAGAAAAAACCATATACATCAACATATATAAATTTATCTGAATTAGATCACACTGGTGATGATGAAAAAAGCAATCGATTAATAATCGATTCATTAATAACAACTAGTAAAACAATGAAAAATGGTCGAAAAAATCGTCGAATCATTCCATCATCAAAATTATCATTATCATCAGCATCATCATTATCCAGTGAACAATCATCATTAGATAGGCCACCGATTGTATTCAAAATTCGTCCAACATCGAGATCTTTTTCATTTAGAAAAAATTGTAAAAAACAACCACAACAACAGCAACAACAACAAAAATGTGTATGGATCGACGATTTAAATGGCAATACAAGACAAAGATTAAAAGAGAAACAAGCGTTTATAAGAAAATTATATGAAACTGTTTACAATAATCATGAATGTAAAAAACAACAAAATGGTGACAACAAAGAATTGGACAATAATAAAAGCGAACAAAGTGATTCTGATAGTGAACAATCATCATCATCAGATGAAACATTGGCATTTAAATCGAAAATTTCGCAAAATAAATCATGAAAATTACACACACACACCAACTATCTTAATTTATTGAATCACAATACAATCGATTTTTTTCCATTTTCGATCGATTTTGTGCCATTCAAAGAAAAAAAATTGAATTGGAATGAATCTAATCGAATTTTTTTCTTTATCAATGAGAGAGAAATGCATGTGTCATGAATGTGATGTTAAATTAGCTTCTCCCCACCCATCAATGTTAAAATGTTGATGACCGTGATAATGATGATGATTGAGACCAAAAAAAAAAAAAAAAAACGATCCATCATAGTCAATTTTCATTCAATTGGTGAGAATTACAAAAAATTACCATTTTTTTTTTCTTGTCCTAATTCATTTGATTAACTATCCACCCATCAATTGACGCTTTGAATATAGAAATTTCACTTCTCTCTATTCTTCTGACACCAATACATACGTAATACAAAATTTTTTTGCTATACACTTCTAAATCTTTTGCACGTTCGTTAGAAAAAGGGGACACATTGAATATCGAGGTCCATGTTCAATGATGATGATGATGTGATAATATTACACAGAGGAAAAAAAATAAAAAAAGGAAATTCTCAATGTTGGCAAATAATAAAAAAAGAAACGTGACGAAGAAACAAATGAAACAAAAAAAGCTTTTGTTTATTCAAATTCATCATATTCTTGTCCTAAAAAAAAATATTTGGAATCAATGGGAATACATTGTGTCAACCAAATGGATAAATTCAAAAGTGCGTGATTTCTAAATTCGATTCTGGTCCAATGTGTGGAACTCAAACACACACGGACACAAATATATAGAATTTTACCATTTTTGTTTAACGAGAAAGGAAAGAATAGAAAATATACACAGATGGGCGCCATATAATCATCACCATCATCATCAAACATTATTAACGTTGTTGTTGTCGCTATGACAAAGAATTTCAGCCAAATCAATTGTGCCCATGGCCAAAAAAAAAATTATTCCGTGAACAAAAAAAAATGATGATGAATAAAGAGTAAAAAAGGGGTAGTAGCAGAATTCACCAGCAGAGAAAAAAAATTGGAAAGAATCCAAAAAAGCAAATCATTTTAAACAATTTACTTTCACTCTTTCTCTCTCATATACACACCGATAATATTCTCAAATTTCAATCGACCAAAAAAAATGAATCTAGAATAAAATCACTAATTAATAATAATGAGAAATGATCATTAAGAGAAAAAGGACAAGATTTACACTTGGAAAATGGATATCGTTTTGTCTTTTTTTTTCTATCGAATGAAAAATGTTTGAGAAAATGCCAAAGACCTCAAATATAAAACAAAAAGGTTTTCGATTACACAGCATATTATAAATTCGAATCGTGTGTAAATATTCCACCAACCAACCAACCAACCAATCATCATCAGTGGTATGAATCAAGAATATCGTAGAGAATCAGAGATCATGACTTCAATACCTAATGTGTGTGTGTGTGCGTGTGTGGTTTTCTGTTACATTCTATTATTTACAGCAATGCTAATTACAACAACGCGACCCAAAAAAAAATATTTCTAGCAATGAATTGCCAATATTTATGTGTGACAAAATAACATTTAGCTAATGATGATGATGATGCCTGTGCTACAGAACCCCCAGAATAACTGGCTAGATAGATCCTGAACAACAACAACAACAAAAGTTTGCTCCCGGGCTCTTTTATTTTCCTGATCAATTCAACCGGAAACTTGGAGATAAACATTTGAAAATAAAAAAATAGAATGTATTCATTCGTTCGTTCGGTCACTATCGAGCAAATGTGTTTTTTTCATAAGTTTGATGAACCTAAATAAGGGACCAAAATATTAACCAAAGGTTTTACAAACGCCCATGTTGTTTAGAGTAGTATTGTTGTGCATTGCATGTATTTCTGGTAATTGTTGTAAAGAAAAGAAAAGAAAAGAAAAAAAAAATTTTCCACAGACACCTCTAGGGACTTTTAGCAATGATGATGTGATGGGATATTTCATATATATTAGTGTGTGTGTGTGTGTATTAAGATTAACTCTCTACGTTTTTTTTATGCACGGTAATGATTCGAAATAATCCTTCTTCATTCATGTGAATGAATGAATAAATGAATGAATAGTTCCGATAAATATCAAGAGAAATATAATCTGATCTGATAATATTCTGTGTCTGTGTGTATGTGTGTGGATGCTCATGATTTAGTTAGCTTGAGCAACAAAAACACATTGTATTACAATGTATGTTTTTGTATACTAGTTCCCAAATGAAGATGAATCATTCAATTTTCATTCATTCATTAAACAGCATTGTGTGTGTTTCGGGTGTTTATAAAGGTTTTCAGTTTTAATTCAATTTTCCTATATAAAAACAAGTTCTCATTATTCTTCGTTTATTTTCATTTTTTCTTTCAAGTTTATATACAAAAAAAAAAAATAAAAATCTCGGCATGTTAAAAAACCGGATGTGGAAATGACACATGATAGCAATCATCAATGACAATAGAATCGGGGACGA